TAACTTGCAACTCAGGTCCCACAGTATCAAGCATAACCTAAGTAACCCAAATCAGACATGTCAGCTCAGATACATGAAGCAAATCTAAAAGCAAGGATCCACCAAAATAAACTTGAGAGAAGAGAAAACATACAGCACAAAGCTTCTTAGTGCTCCTCACAGCAACTTTGAGATTATCCAGTGTCTCCTGGTGATAATCAGAGTCTCCCCAAGAGAAATCGAATCGAGCCACTGACCACAGAACATGAAAATTAAGTATTAGTGTGACAAACCCAAATCAAGTAAGCAAACTGGAGAAACACACACAAAAAAAAATATAAGTAATCGTCAGTACCAGACATGCCGGCTTTGAGACAGCCGGAGAGAGCCTCGACGGATCGGGATTTAGGACCGAGAGTTCCGACGATCTTAGTCAATGCCGGGAAGAAACTCTGAGAAAATACATCAAACAAAAAAACTAATCAGAGAAACCTCTACAACAGAAATCGAACGCTTAAACAGAGCAATCGATCCATGAGAAATCACAAATCAGTGAAGAATTGGGGAAATTAAAGCATCAAATCAGGGAAAAGAGAGAGCTCACAGATTTAGAAGGCTCGAGGATTGAAGCCATCCTGATCGGCTCCTCGAGAAGAAGATGACTCGAATGCATCTTCGATAGCGGAAGTAGAGGGAGATCTCAGTGGTTTCGACGGCGACGGAAGAGAAATAGAGAGTGAAAATTCGACGGGAGAGAGAGAGAAAGAGAGAGAGAGAGCTGAGTGGTTTTGCTGACCGTCGAATATGCTTCTTCTTTGTTCGTAACACCGTACAAATAATATAATATCACGCAACAACGGAGGAAAAATAAATACAATCACAAAAGAAAAAGGAAATGTCAAAAAACAAAAGGAAATAGGAAAAAAGGAAATTCCTATTTCCTAATGTCGACTCGACGCTCTTTTTTGTTTTCTCTTTTAACCTAAACATTCTCAATTTATTGCAAATCATACCCCTTATCTTCTTTCTTGGTAATCTTAAACCCTAGTGTAAAGTGTTTTCTATCTTTTTTTTTGTTGAATCCTTTTTTATTTATAAATGCTAATAATTTTTAAAAAAGATATAACAACCTAACATCTTATTAGATAATCTCTTAGTATTTCTCGTTTCTCATTTCAGTATTTCTAATAATAAAGATGATATGATAATTAGTTTTATGGGAATAAAATATGTCTTAAATAACAACAAGCTAAAACTAGAGGGACTGAAAACGAATTAAATAATTTTATTATACACCATAGAAACTAGATCTGCAATAAACTAATGTCCAAGGACTAAAGTATTTTATTTTTATTAGTAGATCCTAGATGTGTTGGGCCTGATAGAAGTAAAAAAGGCCCAGCTTTGGGCATAGCGCGACAAATTTTAGGTTAAATAAAGCTTTGTCTGCCGTATGCATCACGTCTTTGTTTCTAATTTTCTTGATCAATCCTCTCAAAAGTCAAAACCATGGCCATCAACTTCACAAGTAAGATCCCTCTCTCTCTCTCTCTATAATATGTCTTAATGGAGTTCAGTCGTATTTTGTTTCTCTCATGGCGGCAATTGTCTTTTGTTGTCTTTTTTCCATTTCGTTTAATTTGTTTCCTTTTTCTAACCTCTGAGAATTATGTTTAGGTTAAAAGATCTTTTAACAGCGATTTCCTACCACTAGTTGCGTGAAAAAATGGTAGGAAACAGCCGTTTCTTACGATAATCCTACCATTAAATTGTAGATATTTTTGTAGGAAACGCGAAGGGTATTTCTGACCGTTTTCCTTCGAATATTGCGTAGGAAACAGTTTCCTTCTAATCTTTAAGGTCAACATAAACATTAGTATCTTCTTATAATTAAAAGAGAAGTACAAATTGAACATTGTTAAAATTTTGACAAATTTAACCTCGAAATTAAGCAATTGATTTTTAATTTTGTTAATAGGAGACAGAATTTCAAAATCGAGAGGGGTAATCTTCTTATAATTAAAAGAGAAGTACAAATTGAACATTGTTAAAATTTTGACAAATTTAACCTCGAAATTAAGCAATTGATTTTTAATTTTGTTAATAGGAGACAGAATTTCAAAATCGAGAGGGGTAATTGGGGAAAAATTCCAATCGGGTCAATTATAACCCATTAAAAAAAACACGCGGACCTTAAGTTTCCTTGGATTATGTTACGAGCAGTGGTGTTGTTCTCTCTCTCTCAAAATTTTCAAAGAGAAAAACCATATTTTCTTGCCGTCCGGAGTCGTTTCCGGTTATCATATCCCGTTCATCGGGCTTTTCTTTCAATATACATTAGTGCTTTTGCAGTGTTGGGCTGAACTTTTTCCAGTATCGTTTTTCTTCGGTGATTCTTGCCGCATTGCTCTCGGCTGTTCATGGCCGAATTAGGTGTTAGTTAACATTCTGGTTCTCTGCGACATTTGTTAAGGACTTATGTTTGCTGTTTTTAGTTTTATGGTTTTTGTGCTTTAAATCCTTAGATCTAGGTTAAAGTTGATGATTTAAGTGATTGATTGCTTAAACTAATTTATCTCTAGCTCTTTTCTTTGTGATTTGGTTTGCCGGAACAATAGTAAAGCTATTGTCTCTGATTGAAGGAAAAAAAGAATCCCCAGATGATTAAGATTTATTTTAAACTGTTCTTCTTTGTTGGATCTTCGATTAAATATGTACCTGATCCAATGTACATTAGTATCGATCGTTTGGCCGGAATTATTAGTATTGTTGGCAGTTGATTCATACTTAAGCTAAGACAAGAGTGAGCAGATGCAAGATGAAGAAGAGGAATCGTAAGAATGAGAAGAAGAAGAAGGATGTTGTGTCGTAGGAGGAGGAAAAAGAAGAAAGAAGAAAAGGCACTTGGGCTAGAAGTTAACAAAGGCCCGTGTAAATGGGTTTGTTTAGTGTGTGTTATGTCAAGGATACAACAATCATATAATAATATAAATATGGCTGTATTGGTGTAATGAAGAATGTACGTGAGATTAAGAAGATAAGGTTGAAGTGGCTAAACCTAAACTCTAAAAGTTCCATCAGAATTTAAAAGCAAACACAATTTTGAGTTTGCGGAGCAATAGGTTGAAAGGGGTAGAATTAACATCGGTATGTTATACGATAATATAAATGAAAATGTAATTTTTAACACCTTAAAATGTATAATTACACCACTTAATTACTAAACTACAGAAGTACTATTGGTTAAATATAAAATTATGAAATTTAAATCTTACATTGTAAATAATGTAAAAGTTTAATATTGTTGTATTTGTAGATAAAATTTTATATCGCAATATATTGCGGGCTAAAACTAACTTTCATACCTGCCTAAAAATTTATGTAAAACACAATTAAAAAAATACATCATCAGATTCTATGTATAGTCTCATTAATTCTCAACGTTAAAATATTTTTCCAACCTCTAAATTAATCATTCAAGATATTTGATAACGTTAGGAACCAATAACAATATTGCACATTATTTTAATTCTGAGCACCATAAACACAAAATAATTTATATTAATTTACAACTATAAATATAGTCTACTCACAACAACATACAAATTATTCACCAACACACATTTACCACAAATTTATAATTTGTCTTAGCTCGCAAGTATTTAAATAATTTAATACAACAATAAGAGTGTTTAACAAATTTTTTTTAAGTAAAAAATATCTAACCAACACAACAAACCATATTAACAGTTTCATATTTCTAGAAAATCCAAATAAAAAACACAGACCCGCGGTGTACCGCGGGTTCAAACCTAGTAATTTTACATAACATACATAACTATTAATAAAGTTTTAAATTTACTAATTTACATGAAAAAAAGTTTTAGATAAAATAATTTAAATTATTTTTCATTTTAACATCTTCATACACACTAACATAATTTTATCAAGTCACTTTTCATTATATAAATATTTTTACTTTTATGATTTATATCATAAAAGTGCTTAAATATCACATGTTCAAAACTGGTAAGAAATTTTCTACGTAATTTCTTCGAAATTCCTATGACCCATATATTTGAAGGAAAGTGGAAGGAAACTATCCTACCAAATTCCTATAAAATTCATTCACATTACATTTCGTAGGAAATTGGAAAAAATATTTCCTACCAAATTCTTTCGGTGCATTTTCCTATAAAATTCCTACAAATATCCTACCTATATTCCTACGACGAAGATTTTTGTAAGATTTTCGTAGGAAATTTCCTACGAAATTCTAACAACTGTATTTTGAAGGAAATTCCCTTTCAGTTTCCTACGAAAACTATCTTTCGTAAAAAATTTATAGGTATATGGTAGGAAATTTTTCCTACCATATTTGTTGTAGGAAATTTGGTAGGATTTAGATATGTTTTCTTGTAGTGAGAGAACACTAGTTTGGGTAGTCCAATCTCAAGATGCCTCATTAGTTTTGTACTGTGTCTGTTTTCTTGAGGGTCCGTTAGTTTGTATTGCGATTGCATGCATTATAAGATAAGATAAGAATGACATGCATGTGGTTCCATTAATATTTGTGAATGGAAACTAATTACATTGTAAGATGGTCTCGAGACCCGTATAAAATATTCATTTCCTTCATTTTTAGATAAGGATGAATGATAAAAACGACATTTAAAAGAGTGACAACACATGACACATGAATCTTGTATACTAATAAGAGCTAATGTGTTTTCACCGCATGATTAATTATTATAGCATTTTTTAGAATATTATTTTTATACATATCCTTTAACGTTGTAGTTGATGCAAAACACAGATCATTTACGTTGTGAGGATCTCTCTATCTCCCTTTTTCTCTATGTGATGTTATTGCTAAAGAACCTAAATTCTCTATGCCATCGACTATAATAACACTCTAAGCCCAAAGACAGAGATGATTGGTGTGATTACATTTTCTAGACTATCCCTCTAACCTTTGTGCTCCTATTGTCCTTTTTAGTTCGGTAACACTAGTACTCTCTCTATGTAGCCAGAGAAATTTCCTTCCCAAAAAGGGAAGAAAATGGACTATCTGGTAGATCTAAGGCTTGGCTGTCTAAAGATTCACAGTGCATCCTCCTGGTTAAAAATAAGACATCATATGTTACTACAAAAATCTTAGTATATGCTTGTTAATTATATCAAATTTCTTGTATACCTATCATTGTCATTGTAGGTAGTGCTTGTGTCCATGACGTTATCTTCGGTGTTTAGATAATCCAGAAGATAGCTCAACCGTCCCGCTTGTTCTTCTTGTTCCTCCTCTACAAATGAAGAAACTCATATAGTGTTTACCTTTTTATTTTAAATTTAGATATTATATATATTCTAAAGAAGAATTGTAGTTACCATCTGTTGTTAGCTTGAAATCATTGGAAGAGAAACCGAGGTAAGAGTAATCACTAGGTAAGGACCTAGAAACTGATTGCATGTGTTCCTCAAGAAATTGCTTTTTCATTAGTCTTGAGCTATCACTAACCCGCATTGGCACTAAAACCAGCAAAACAAAAGAAACAGCTAAACAAATAGTAAAGCAAAGATTGGTATATAGATATACAGAAAAAGGTTTCAAGAAAGTACTAACTTGTGTTCATCTCTGTGTCTTTGTCAATGTATTGAGAGCAACACCGGATGTCGTGTAGAGGCTTGTTATTGTCAATGTATCCACCGGAGCGTGATTTTTCCCGATATGGCTTGACGAGAACACGAGCTCCACATATGAAATGAGGATTTCCTTTAGCAAGAATGTGTTTGACTGTTTCGGTGTAAGCAAAAGTTACAAATCCAAACATTCTCTTTTGCTGACAAGGAATCCTCACATCTTCCACTGGTCCAAATTTGGAGAAGTAGTTTGAAACATCATATTCATTGAAACTACTCTCTGCCGGAAATGTTAAGTAAATCTGTCTTGAACCAGCAAGAATCGCTCCCTGTTCGTGTCTCTCTCCCTTGTATTCAACAAACTTTGATACATCTTGTGCTAGTATAACTGAATGTTGCCCATGAGGCCTACAAAATCCATTACACCATTTACCAAAACAATACATAAACTAAACTATACTCCCTCAAATACTTGTGTTTGTTAGAATGTTTTTAGTAACTAACCTGTCGATGAGGCGGATGGAGTTCTTTAATCGAGCGAGAAGCTTGGTGAGGCTATAGCCAGCTTTGCCATGTCTTTGTGACTCTGTGAGATATCCTTCAGCTTGAAGGGTCTTACCGTACTTCTCATAGTACATCATCGGCAATGAAGCTATGGAAATCGGAGCACCTCTTCTTGATTTGAGCAGCTCAATGATCTCTCCTTCTAGCTTCTCAAGAGAACAAGAGGAAACAACATGCTCATCGTCGCTTAAGTTGTTGTTTGGATTAAACATCTGAGCAAAACTATCTCTATCCGGTTTGATATGTCCATGGAAGTACCTACAGTTGTTGCCATGCTTGCAGAACCCTTTGTTGAAGTAATGGCAGATTTTGACAGGAAACTCCGGTAAACTAGGCGATCTGCGACTCGTTCTTGAAGACAAACCTTGTTTCTCCTGAGAGAAGAAACTAGTTGAGAATTCAGGACAAGAATCCTCAAAATTCAAGAACTGAACATTGTTTTGCAATGATGAATCCATTTCGTTCGTAGTCTCCCAAAAACTTGTTCCCATGGACAGAACCGAAGGAGGAGAGACAGAAACCAAAAGAGACTGGTTTGGTGAACCGGTGAATGACCCGAATTTACGGATTTGAATGTGATGAGAAGAAGGAATGTTGTAATGAGAGTTTTTAGCCAATTCATATGTAACACAGTTGATCATGGAAAGCATCACCGAATCTGGACAGAATGCGAGACGGATCATGTCACGATCGTTGTGGTCTTGCATCAACAAGAGATAACCGATGATCTTCGATGCATTCTCTGGCTCAAGTTGATGGATTCTGTTGTGTACAACGTTCATAGCTTCTGTGAAGTTCATATCTCTAGTAATTAACGTAACGTAATGTAAACGTCTTCTCCTTAAAAAATTGTCCTGCATTGCGAATCATTCAAAAGTTTTAGTCAAAATAATTCTACTTATAAAATCATATATATAATCGGACAAGCGAGTAGATGAATGAGACTCACTAATGAACGCACATGCATGTACGTCTTGTGTACAAATATTAGATTTGCATATTGTAAGTTATTCAAAGAAATGTTACAATGTCATGGATAACAAAAAAAACAAAAGAGACAAATTTGTAATCAAAACAAAAATTTTAATCCCAACACAATCTTGAATTTAAACACTTTAACTAATATTTGGTAATCTACACTTATAAACTCAATAGAGCATATACATATATTTATATATACATATTTTTTGTCAAAAATTATGCATATTATTGAGTCAGTGTATATAAAAAATAACAACAATTATCTGAAAATGAGATGATCAGATACCTGTGTATAAGGAAGAATGGTCTCTGGGGATTGAAGAGAAGAATCTTTTAAGAAAAAGAAAAAAAAAAATCAAATGAACTAAGCAAAGCAGAGAAACTCTTCTTCGATGGTCACTGAATCTGCATCAGGCAATCTAAGTTTGTTGCCATTGCGAATACTCTCTTCTTCTTCTTTAGTTTCCTTTCTTGTAATGTCTTTGTTTCCAACACTCTTAAAAAAGAACTAACTGTGAGACAACAACTTTGTTGTCACTTCACTTTTGTCTCTCTTTTGCATAGATTAGAAATCACAACTCCAATAGCAATACGCATACATATACAACTCTGCTAAAAATAGCAAACAAACTTACTATCGTTATATTCGGCGAATTGAGATCTGTATGACTTGGCATTTCTTTTGACTTTTATTTGGATTTTTTTACCATTTTTCATTCTCTTATTCATTCTAAATCGCGTTATCTTTTTTTCTCTACCAATTCTAAAAAATTTGGATTAAAAACTTATATTTTCTAATAATGATTTTTAGTATCGTAATGCTGTTTTGGCATATATATGATTTTTTCATAGCTATACCTACTCAACAAGATTCATAGTTATTAAAATTAGTTGTAATGTTTTATATACTAGTGTTATAAAAATTAGGTATATATACTTTGTGTGTATGTGTATGTGTATGTGTGTATATATAGACTTTTGCCAGATATAGCATATATAAAATAGCTATGCTAATTATAGCTGTGATCCGTGACGGATTTGTTACAAAAAATCTTTTTGACTAAGTTATATTCTTTTATCCATGTTTAGATGCTTATTACAACTTCTACTACATTTTCTTATTTTTCTTTATAAAATTAAAATCTACATCAAAAACTGCAAAACGTTCATGGAGTAAGTCATATTGTCTAACTAATATGGGAGAATTGGCTAATTAATCTTGTGCTTAAGAGAAATGTTATATTACTTCAACCTATATGCGACGGGCCAAATTCCAACGGTAGATCACCACTAACCACTGGGCACAACAAAACGACCCTGACGTTTTATACCATTACCAATCATCAAATGGGCTTCCTAATTTTGTCCCACTTAAACTTAATATCATAATTGGATGTGGCTTACCATAAAACATAACTTCAAAGCGATTATATATAAAGATCCGATAAAGATTCCTAACATAATACCGACAAATTTTGCATATGATCATGAATTATTAAACATTGTCATAATTTATAAAGAGACACGATACCTTGGTACACCTATAAAGTCGAAATGTTTAAGCTCATATTCATAACAAAACAAAACAAACAAACAAATTAAGAAATGATTAATCAGTTAACGAAGAATGAGTTACTCGGATTATTTACATCCATTGCCCTTCTCATATACGTTACATGTCTCCTCCACACCAAACGTCGTACGAGTCTGCCTCCGGGACCAAATCCTTGGCCGGTGATCGGCAACATGTTCCAGCTCGCAGGTTCACCACCACACCACTCATTGACTAAACTTTCAGGGCGTTACGGGCCGATCATGGCTTTGAGGCTCGGCTCGATGCTGACGGTTGTGATCTCTTCGAGCGAAGTGGCTCGGGAGATTTTCAAGAAACACGACGCAGCATTGGCTGGCCGGAAGATATACGAGGCGATGAAAGGAAGAGACAATAGTGACGCGTCGCTCATCACGGCTCAGTACGGTGCGTATTGGCGGATGCTGCGGCGACTCTGCACCACTCAGTTCTTTGTCACGCGCCGTCTTGATGCTATGAGTGCTGTACGCTCTGAGTGTGTTGAGCAGATGCTTCGGTTCGTCATGGAAGGTGGCCAAAACGGTGCGTATTATATTAGATTTCCTTTTATCAGCAATTACGTTCTTAAGAGAAAACATACTAATACAAACCATTTAGCTTCATATCCTTGGTTAATGAGATTATAATTATGCAAAACGATTATGTCCACTGTTGGCTGTTGTATTTCATAAATGATCTGATTTCAATGTTTGAAAAGTGTCACAGAATGTGTATTTTAATTTATTTTATATACGCTTTACATATTTATTTCTTATCAGGTACAAAAACAATCGACGTGGGGAGATACTTCTTCTTGATGGCGTTTAATCTCATAGGAAACCTCATGTTCTCGAGAGATTTGCTCGATCCGGATTCTAAAAGAGGCTCAGAGTTCTTTTACCACACAGGGAAAGTGATGGAGTTCGCCGGGAAGCCCAACGTTGCTGATTTCTTCCCTTTACTAAGGTTTCTTGACCCTCAAGGAATCAGAAGGACAACTCAATTCCACGTGGAGAAAGCTTTTGAGATCGCCGGACAGTTCATCAGAGAACGATCGGAGGTTAGGGAGAGAGAAGAGAGCGACGAGAAGACTAAGGATTACTTAGATGTTCTTTTGGAGTTTCGTGGTGGCGATGGAGTCGACGAAGAAGAAGAACCTTGTAGATTCTCAGCAAGAGACATCAACGTTATTGTTTTCGTAAGTATTATACACACCAAATTTTTTTACGCTTATAGATAATATAAAACGTCAAATGTGATACAATTTTCAATTTTATTGATAGGAAATGTTTACGGCAGGGACGGATACGACAACAAGCACGTTGGAGTGGGCACTAGCGGAGCTTCTACACAACCCAAGAACCTTAACCAAACTTCAAACTGAACTCAGGACATACTTCAAGTCCCCGGACCAAAAGCTCCAAGAAGAAGACCTTCCCAACCTTCCCTATCTCTCGGCAGTTATCATGGAAACCTTGAGGCTGCACCCACCTCTGCCTTTCCTAGTCCCACACAAGGCCATGTCTACATGTCACATCTTCGGCAAATACACTATTCCCAAAGAAACACAGGTTTTGGTTAACGTATGGGCGATCGGGCGTGATCCTAAAACATGGATCGACCCGATTATGTTCAAACCGGAAAGATTTATATCCGACCCGAACCCCCGAGACTTTAAAGGACAGGATTTCGAGTTTTTACCGTTCGGGTCGGGTCGACGGATGTGTCCAGCTTTGCCTTTGGCGTCACGGATCTTGCCATTGGCCATTGGATCGATGGTGAGGTCGTTTGATTGGGCCTTGGAAAATGGGCTTAATGCAGAAGAAATGGATATGAGTGAAAGAATTGGTATTACATTGAAAAAAGCTGTTCCTTTGGAAGCGATTCCAATTCCTTATTTACGGAGCTAGTTTTTTAATCACCAAAGCAATCCAACAAGTCTATAACATGAAAAGAAAATAAAACTGTGCAATAAGTAGGCGTTATTGTCAAAGAATAGATTCGGTTCACTGACATAGCCGAGTTGACCACACATTTGGTGTTACTACTGTCTTCTTTTGTAGTTTTATGGCATTTGTGTGCATCGTTTGCAAACGTTAGCACGTAGACGTGGCATGCAATTAGCAACCACACCCAACGTCCTTTCCAAAAGTCAGATTTTTTTCTGTGCGTCTTCAGTATCCCATAGATGTGCCTTTTGGAGAAGTCCTTGGGTTTAGTTGCTAAAACAACCTCACTAATTGTTAGATTTCTAGAATACTAAGTCCAAACCACTCAACAGTCATCATCAAACGACATAGTCCTAGAACGTCTCTGGTACCGAATCAAATCAAACATGTTTCAGAGAACCTCAACTTCACAAACAATCAAACATAGGACCTAAAAAACGCAAACGCTATTCCAATGTTTCACAAACAAAACGCCTCTGATTCATTTATTCCCGTTTACAAATCCAACGATTCGAAGATCAGAAGAAGCTCAGCCAAGAAACTACCACAAAAGTGAAAGAAACTTCAAACAAAGAAAAAACTGAGAAGAAAAAACAGAATCAGAGAGCTTTAAGCATATCCTCAGCACTACTGTTAGTGAAAGCACCTCCTTCTTCAAGATTCAGAACCTTCACAACACCATCATCAGCCAATATCGCGTATCTCCTTGACCTTACTCCCAGTCCTACAGGCTTATCCCTCAAATCCATTTCAACTCCAAGCTTCCCTGTGAATTCACCATTTCCATCGGATAATAGCATCACCTCATCGTTGATTCCGAGGTCTTTCCTCCACGCTTCCATCACGAACGCGTCGTTGACGGAGACACAGGCGATTACATCGATGCCTTTAGATCTGAGCTCTCCGGCTTTGGATACGAATCCGGGGACGTGTTTCTGCGAGCAGGTCGGCGTGAATGCGCCGGGGACTGCAAACAGGATTGATTTCTTCCCGGCGGTGAGGGAGGAGACGGTTACTGTTTTAACGTCTCCGGTGGCGGGATCGAGGTAGGAGAGGGTGGAGTCTGGGAGCTTGTCTCCGACGGAAATGGAGGCGGACACGGGTGTTGCCGCGAAGGATCTGGTGGTGGCGGAATTGGTGCGGCGGTTGCGGAATCTGAGAGAGAGATTAGGAGCGAGAGAGCGATTGAAGGAGAGCGGCGCGGTAAAGGAAACGGTTGAGGAAAGTAACGGCTTGGCGACGGAGATAACGGTGGCGGAGGATGAGGAGATGAATCTAGAAACTGAGAGAGAAGTCGCCATTGATGCTGTTTAGGTGAAGAGTGACTTCAGGTTTGTGATTTTTTTAAGATTGAGTAGAGAGACTGTAAAGCAAGATGAAAGGCTATGTCTTTATTGGGCCTTAATGGGCTTAAATTGTATTCACCGCCTGGGCCTCTTCGTTTCATGGTTTTATTTTGTAAAATATTTTAGGGTTTTTTTTTTGTTTTTTGGTAGAAAAACATTTTAGGGTTTAAAGTCAAACCTAATCTCCGCACTGGTATCGTAGGAGGCACTCCGGAGAGACAATGTCTAGAATTCGTAGTGATTGGTCGGAGCTTTGTTCCGATATTTTGAGACTAATCTTCGAAGGATTAGGGTCAAAAGATTTTCGTCGAGCAAGAAGTGTTTGCTCACATTGGTATGATGTTTCAAGAAAATGTACGCTACCTCTGTATCCATGGCGAATTCTGTTCAAAGAGGGTTTGACTTTTTTGTGCGATCCCGGTGATGTTGAAGAAAATTTTCACGTAAAAGAACATCTCGGTTTCCATCTATCGAAAAGCTCTGTTATGGCTAGTTGCAGCACCTGGCTCTTGATGAAGGATCCTAGTCTCCTATATCTTTTGAACGTGTTTACTCCTGAGACGATCAATCTTCCATTGATGGAGTCATGTCAAGAACGAAGAGACGATGATTTTGAAGGTTTCATCAAGTCCACCTACAAAAGACAAAAGATATCAAAGTTTAGTTGTGCCCAAAATCCGGCATGTTTTTGGATAAACGAGAGAAGAAGGGATTATGTTGTAGCTTGGAATGACCAGAAAAGCAACAACTTGTTCACATATAAGAAAGGAGATGACTATTGGTATACCCTTGAAGGCATCAACTGTGTAGACATGGCGTATAAAGACGCCAAGCTTTATCTATATACGTTTGATTGCTCCATCAAGATTTTTGATTTCTCTGGAGATTTCCCTAACGAAATCATACGAGGAAACCCGTATCGTAACCATCCGTTTCACTATCCTTTTCAACCTTGGGAATCCGTTTGGAAGGCTAAAGTTGCGACTACGAACTCGGGGGATGTTTTGATCGTTTTGAGCATGAGAGGGTTAGTAGGGGAACGTTTCTTTAGCATGTTCAAGATGAATTCGGAAAGTGGTGACTGGGAGAGAGTAGAATCTCTCGGAGGTGAGGTGTTGATATTTGGTCACGGGGTCACAATCAAAGATGTCAATGGTTGGGGAATCAAGAGTGATTCAATCTGCTTTGGTAATGATGATCTTTGTCCAACTAGTGGCTGTGCTGCTCGTTTTAAACCCAACAAGAAAAATAAGTCTGGTGTGTTTGATCTAGCCACGAGTAGAATCACATCATCAGCTGAATCGTTCTCGAAGGGTTTTTGGTTTGTTCCTGGAGGCCAGTAGGCTTACTGTATTAGCTTTGTTTTTTGCAATATTTTTTTAAGGAAAATGTTTTTTGTTTAATCTTTGGTTGATAAAAAAACTGCCCATATATAGAATATTTGTTTTTGCTTTCTTTCTTTTTAATATGCCGTCGAAGAAGTAAAAGTATCTTTTGATAAGTGGATACTACGTATTAGATGTTAGAAGAGGGCTTGTTGACAATATACTTTTACACTCACTAAAAATGATGTTGACAATATAAAAATCACTAAAGATAGTTCCACTCAAGAACTATAGTTGGGATCATAATAATATGCTTCAGCATTTGATAGGTTAATCAGAACGATCCATCCAACCAAAACAAAAGTTCAAAAGCAAAAAGATGCCAAAGGAATATGCGTAAACCTGAACTGGGTTGCGACTGTTATTCATCCACCTGTCCTGTCCTTTAGGTTATGTTGTGTGTTACATAGCAATGCACTTGGTGGTTGTCTGCTTAAGAATCTAAGACATACATAATCATGAGCTTAATTAATACTATAAGCTTGTCAAATTCATTCTAATTTAATGACTCGTACAACTATGTACATTTAATACTCTATCGAATATATATACTTTCCTTCTTAGTTAATTACTTGTTCTAGTGTTGACCTAATTACCTAATTACTTGGACATTACTGGAAGAGCAACAAAAATATGGAAACCTTTTGGTCATCTGCAAAAGGCGTGCAACGCATCGTTTTAACGTTTTCCATTTCTTTTTAAGTTCGTACTGCCACTATTAGATCATAATACTGTACTAGTTTTAATCACGACGGCTATATATATTTGCGAAGGTAAAGCCTAAGAATCACATCACTGTTATACAAAGCTTCGACGAGTGTTTCTTCAGCAAAAGTTTTTTAAACTCTTTCGTTACGATCTAATCAAACAATGGCCAGTATCACTGCCGTGAAAGCTAGGCAGATCTTCGATAGCCGTGGAAACCCTACCGTCGAGGTTTGTTTCTTCTTATCTTCCTTCGAGTAAACGTTTCACTCTTTCCGATCGTTACTTTTAACTTTAATCGATTTTTTTTTCTCGGATTGGATTGGTTTTAATCTTTCTATTTTAAATTGATCCCATGATTCATCTGTCGATATTTTAGGTCGATGTCCACACATCTACCGGTGTTAAGGTCACAGCTGCTGTTCCTAGTGGTGCTTCCACTGGTATGCTGTTTTTTCGTTTTCCCCCTTCCTCTGTTTTTATGTTTATTCTCTCTTGAAAAAATGTATGACCTGCTTATCAGATAAAATTCACTGTTATTTGTTTCTTTTGGCTTATGTTTTGGATCTGTTAATTCTTGATTGTAAACTATTCCATTAGGAATCTACGAGGCTCTTGAGCTGAGGGATGGAGGATCAGACTACCTTGGGAAAGGTGTCTCAAAGGTGGGAGAGTGTGTTACTGTGTATTGGTTTTTGAACAGAACAAATGTTTATGTGAATGACATGTTTTTCTTATTGGTGTCTGTCTATAGGCTGTTGGTAATGTTAACTCAATCATTGGCCCAGCATTGATTGGCAAGGTAAAGCCCCCTGTTAAAACCCTTGAAGAGTATCTAAAGTTCTTTTTGTTATGTGTTATGTCAATAGATAGTATGTGATTCACATTTCTCAAGGTTTGTGTTTTATTTTTTGTTTGCATGTTGCAGGACCCAACTCAGCAGACTGCTATTGACAACTACATGGTTCACGAACTTGATGGTACCCAAAATGAGTGGGGCTGGTGCAAGCAAAAGGTCCTTTTTAGAGTTTTTGTGGATTCATTTGAGATCATTGACAGATGATCTTAACTAGCCTGCTTCTTGTGTTTGCTTTACAGCTTGGAGCCAATGCAATTCTCGCTGTTTCTCTTGCCGTCTGCAAGGCTGGCGCTGTTGTTAATGGAATTCCTCTCTACAAGGTTTGATCCTCTTGCACTAATAGCTCGACTCTTGTAACCGTTACCACAAAACAAAACATTTCCATTTTTTAAAGTTACATCATCATTTCAATTCTTTTGCTCTTGTTTGTGTCTTTGTGTAGCACATTGCCAATCTTGCTGGTAACCCGAAGATTGTGCTGCCAGTTCCTGCCTTCAATGTCATCAATGGTGGATCCCATGCAGGAAACAAGCTTGCAATGCAAGAGTTCATGATTCTCCCTGTTGGAGCTTCATCTTTCAAGGAAGCCATGAAAATGGGTGTGGAAGTCTACCACAACTTGAAGGTAAATCATAGAATCATTTTGGTGTTTTTCATAACTCGGTTTATGGTGAAATATGATTTAAAGTCAAATAACATGTTTTTGTAGATACTCCTTATACTGATTGATTCCTTGGGGTTAACATGACTTGTCTCACATTTCTTTTAAGTGACTAATTCACTTTTCTTGCTCTCACAGTCTGTGATTAAGAAGAAGTACGGCCAGGATGCAACAAACGTTGGTGATGAAGGTGGCTTTGCACCAAACATTCAAGAGAACAAGGAAGGTCTTGAACTGCTCAAGACTGCCATCGAGAAGGCTGGATACATTGGCAAGGTTGTCATTGGAATGGACGTCGCTGCATCCGAGTTTTACTCATCAGACAAGAAATACGACTTGAACTTCAAAGAAGAGGTCTTCTTTTAATTTCATGAAACATCCTTGTGAAGAGATTAAGAATAATGCTCCCAATATCTTAGCCCCTGCTCTGTTTTTGTATTTGCAGAACAACGATGGTTCTCAGAAGATCTCTGGAGATGCTCTAAAGGACCTGTACAAGTCATTCGTTTCAGAGTACCCTATTGTCTCCATTGAAGACCCATTTGACCAAGACGACTGGGAGCACTACGCTAAAATGACAGCTGAGTGTGGCGAGAAAGTTCAAATAGTCGGTGATGATCTGTTGGTCACCAACCCCAAGGTCTTCCATTGTTAATCAAGCGTTTCCTTAAACCTTTCTTTATATTACTTAACATGTTCATCTCTCTAACACTCTTATACGTAAGCAGAGGGTTGAGAAGGCAATCAATGAAAAGTCTTGCAATGCACTTCTTTTGAAGGTAACATCCTCACCCACAAAGGACTCTTGACTTCATTTGGAATATTGTTAGTAAATTGGTTAACCAAATTCCTTGTGCATGAAAAAAACAGGTTAACCAAATTGGATCTGTGACTGAGAGTATTGAGGCAGTTAAGATGTCAAAGAGAGCTGGTTGGGGAGTGATGGCCAGCCACCGTAGTGGAGAGACCGAGGACACCTTCATTGCTGACTTATCCGTCGGTTTGTCAACCGTAAGTCAAAACCTTACAATGATATTCAACAAGTATTTCAGTTTTATTATTGTTTATATCATATCATGATATTGAGTGTCTTCGTATTGTTGTTAACATAACAGGGGCAAATCAAGACCGGAGCTCCATGCAGATCAGAGCGTCTTGCCAAATACAACCAGGTTTAATATCAACAAGTTTTGTTTTAATTGATTGATAAACGAACATGCACTACACAGAATTATTCGAATATTAATGTTTGTGATATAATGAATGTAGCTATTACGAATTGAAGAAGAGCTTGGAGCAGAGGCAGTATATGCAGGAGCCAACTTCCGCAAGCCCGTCGAGCCATACTAAGAGAGACAGAGTCTTGAACAAAGCTGAGATCGAGTTTGATTAATATTTGAGATTTTAGGGTAAAGCTAAATAAAGGATCAGTATTTTAGTTGAACCTGTTCTGCTTTTAAGTTTAGTTGGGTTTCATGTGAACTCTGCCAATTCAAAGGACAACTACTTTATAATGTTAGTGCCTTTTGTGTTTGTTATCTCATGTGATTCTTCTTCTGCCTCTTTTCTGCTATCTCCAATTATTATTTAACATCTACGAGATTCACATGGCTCTTTTAATGCATATATGTTTCCAAACAAGTCGATTGCACAATCTAACGTAAATCATAGAGTCCATAATTTTGATTTAGGTAGAAACTTGGGTAAGTTTGAGAAATAAAATGTGATGATTGATGAATCTCAACTTCCTAGGTAACAAATGCTAAGTAATACAAAGCCTCAAAACATACACCAAAACTTAAATACAAATCTTATTTCCTCATATCTTATATCCCATCCGCACTGATGAGTCTTGATGCTGTGCTAAGAGACAACTGTAACATAATTAATTGCTGAAAAGGAAATTATACTAAACTAAAAAAATGCAGGCTGTGGGGTTCGAACCCACGCGCACTTATGTGCAGAAGAACTTAAGTCTTCCCCCTTAACCTCTCGGGCAAACCTGCATTGCTGTTGTCTAATTCACTTTTATATATTATTATTAAACATGATAAAATAAAGTAAACAACCTCAACGTCCCTCATGTTCAGATTGCGATTTCTTCTTTGTTGGTTTTGCTTAGTATGCAAATCTAACTACACTACACGCTCCATATCCACAAATCCCAAGTAGTATTTGTAGGCTTGTAGCTACGACTCAAAATATTGTTAATAACCACAAAATCAACATGACATTGATAGATAGATAACACTTCTGTTTTCCTCCATATGTTCCTCTCTCTCTCTCTCTTTTCTCATATCCACACAACAATCTCTCTGGTTAAGTAACAGTATGTCACAAACACATCCACAAGAACAATGCAATTACATATCTTCAACTAGATAAAATACCAGAAATTGCAGTTCAACACCCTGAATTTATTTTGTCAGTCTCAGAGGTTTTATCATAAAACTCTGTCAAATGTAATATTCTTCTTCATAGAGTGTTTCCCATTACTTTAAATATCTTAGGGAAATAAATTTTGTTTTTTTGCATCAGCAAAACAATGTAAACCACAAAAGACAAATGAGACAACGTGTATAAAACTTGTCAAAAGAGAGCAAAAAGAGTTTTCTTTTTTTTTGCCTCCCAAACAGTTTGCTTGAGCAAAATTCAGTTGTTTGAACGTTTCAAGTAAACAACTACGGCTACGCTTGTTAGGGCAACAGCTCCTGTAACCACCACACCACCACGCCATGAAACCAATCCACTTCCTCTATCTCGAGAATCCGCTTTCTTGAGTTGCGTGGTTTCTGAGCTCAAGCTCCTTGTTGACTCAGTGAAGTCCAGATGCAGCCTCAAAACCTTTTGTCCTGTAGATCTAGCAAGAGTAACAGCACCAACCAAATCGCTATCCGATGTAATCAAAACCTTATCACCTTCATCGTCCTCATATATAATCTGAGGCCGTTGTTCCACATTGTTGTTGTCGCTGCCAATTCTTTGCATCACAATACCCATCAGCTCTTCGAGGTTTTCAGCTGCGGAAGTAAACCGATGTACACGGCCCTTAAGGTCTTCGAATTTGAATGAAAACGAGTTCCCGAGTCCTAGAGATGGGTAAGAACTGAGCTTCCCGATATCTGACTGTTGCATCATTGCCGACATTTCGCTTTGAGTATCAGAATCATCAGGCGGCTCTAAAGCAAGAGCTGAATCCCAGAATTTCTGCATCATCGTGTTCGCCATATCATTCACAGCTCCAGAGCTATTCTCGACCATTGAAATAGCAGCGTGAGTAATCTGAAGAACATCTACACAAGCTGCAGCGGATCCGTCTTTATCAATAATAGGAAGATGTAGAAACTTCCCATCATGCATTATATGCAACGCATCCAGAATCGTTGTCTCCAGCGATGCACATTCTGGATTCGGTGTCATTACCTTCTCGACAAGAGTCAGTTCAGGAGATAAATTCTGTGCCACCACTCGCATCAGAATGTCTTTTGAAGTCAAGATTCCATGGATTTTGTTCCCCATGGAAATGATTACAGAGTTAACCCGCAAATCCCGCATCTTTTTGGCAGCAACATAAACAGGATCTGATGGTGCTACAAGTGCAACCTTTGAATTATCAGTGATGATCGTTGACAAGGCGGGCTTAAACATTCTCTCCCTCAAGGTTTCAATGAAAGCATATGGCGCAGAATACCCGCTTCCCCATTGCTTCTCTACACCTTCCACTGCAGCTGCTAAAGCACTGCCTTGCTCTGCAGCTTTCTCCATCCTAGAAATAGCATCATATAGACACTTTGTAATATCCAACAAAGCAATGACTTCACCATTCTCTACAACAGGCAAGTGCCTAAATTTCCCTTGAACCATCTTCTGAAGAGCCTCAAGCGCCAACGAATCAGAAGTGACAAAAATAGGATTCCTGGTCATAACCTTAGAGACCAAAGTTTGATCCGGTCTCAACCCTTCAGCAATCACTCTTGTAGCTACATCTTTATCAGTAACAATCCCGGAGAGAAGCGCACTTGAATCAGTCAACAAACAAGCATCAACACGACGAGCAGCCATCCTTCGACAAGCATCAAAAACAGTGGTTCCTTCAGGAATAGTAAGAGCTTTCGATAAACGAAGTTTCTTCACAGTTCTCTCTCCGTTAGAAGGAGGTTGAGATTGAGGTTGAGGGGGAGGTGAATTGGGTTTTGAGGTGGTTCCATTAACGCTTCCGTTCTCTGATTGAACTGGCTTTTTGGAAGGTGGTGGTCCTCTGCGAACACTCGAAGAAGTGCTTCTTCTCCCTGATGTTGAAGACAGACCCGTCGCTTGAGTACTCATATTCGATCAATCTAGGCTTTTCTGAGATCTCTGAATCCGTCAAAAATGATTCCTTTAGAAATTTAACTCGTCTCTGCAAATGAAAAATCCAACCTTTAAAATTCAAATAACATAAAAATCTGTATTTAAGCACAAATCTGAGTAAAACCCAATTTGACAATAAACACGATTTGTTCTGAGACTCGGACGCACATACACGGGAAAGAAAGAAAAAAAAAGCATCGACGGTCGGAAAAAAAGATTCGAAAGAGAAATGATAAAACTCGAAAAACCTAGTAGAAGATTATGATTTTAGGGTTTACCTTGTTCTTCAACCTTCCTATCTGGAGCACTCAGCAAACGGCTCTTAACAATTGTGTGAAGCCATTTATCAAGTTTTCATTGGCTGTTCTTTGATTCCGTGTGTGTGGTGGTTCGCCTCACCTCCCTCTTCGTCTTTCCTTTTTTATAAATGGACGACTTCCGAAAAATGTAAATATTTTTTTAATGTGTTGATATATAACAGATCCGTAAAAGTAAAACCAAACGAAAGAACCGGGAATTAAATGTTGTCTGATAAATGTCCATATCTACCCTTTCTTTCCTTTTTAAAAGTATGAAATTTTGAATCACCAACAAGTTGGATTTATCTCTTGTGTGTAATCTAAAAGAGTTAATGGCGGATATAAATACAAAATTTATCATCGAAAATGTCCAAATAAAGAGATTTATGTGGGTTACACGAAAAAAAAGAAGTTCAAAATTCAAATAATAAAAGAAAATACAAAAATAATTGACAAATTTGCATATAATGCACGCAACTTGCTTCTCTGCAGGAAAACTGGCTTACCAAAACACACAAACCAATTTTGGAAAAAGAAAAATATAAAAACAGGGTGAAATTTGATATGTGAAGATTTTCTATGTACGTTTAAAGGTATACAGTATTGCAAAAACTGATTTTAACTCGTTTCGCAATTCACAAAGTATATAATATATCCACTTTAGTTTTTTTCTATAAAAAAGAATTTTTACGTGATGCATAATGTCCATCCTTTGGTAATCTTTAAAGAAATAAAAATGAGAGAATTCGTTGGCATCCCTTAACTGTAAAGTATAAGCTAGGACTCTCATCAGCGAGCTCTTCTTTTCTTTGTTTGGCTTCTTTGGCACACATTTGGAAGTTGCAGAAACGATATGATATTCAATCATCAAATTGCAAAGACGAATAGTGTAGAAGTAAAATTAAATTTCGGTGAAACAATCAGGGCCATGGACTCCATATATCGAGACGGGCCAGGCCAGCCCATATTAGACTTTGGGTTCAGTTCGGGTTTGGTTCTCGATATTTATTAGTTTTATGCTTTATTCGTAATAAACGAAGAGTGTAAGGGTTCTTTTTGCTAATTTTTCCTGAATCACACAAGTGAGCTCAACAGAGTCGTCGTCCACGAGCTTCCCACTTAAAAAAAAAATTGAAATTAACAAGGGCGATACAAACGATTTCGAATGCTTCATCTTCTACTTTGATATCCTTCTTCTTCTACTAATGCTCCTAGATATGGATCTCGGTGTTCTTCTATCATCTCTTATTCCTTCATTTCAATCTGTGAGCTGTCTCTTTAGTTTTTTGGTCTCAATGTCGCAATTTCTTCTTGTGATTTTTTTCTGTTTCGATTTTGATCGATTTCTGTTTACTTTTCGTTCCGAGATTTTAGGTTTATGTGCTGGTGTTTTACTTCGTTTACTTGGCCGTCGCCGGAGAAATTCTCCCTGGGAAAGTTATTCGCGGCGCACTTTTATCAGATGGCTCTCAACTTCGTTACCGATGCAATGGTTAATTTGATTTCATATTTAGTCACTCTATAAAAACTTTTATTATCAATTCTTTTTCTTAATTCCCCTAAAAACAGGTCTATTGGCGTTAACACTGTTGGTCGCTATTTTGGGAATCTGTGCAAAACTTGGCATTGTATCACCTCTTGTAAGTGTAGTACCGAGATTGAAATTGTGTGTTGTATGAATCCGAATGAGTGAGTTAAGATTGCAATTGCTTTCTTGAATTCATACCACTGAGATGTTTTGCAGGTGGTTGCGGATAGAGGACTTGAGTTACTCTCAGCTACTTTTATTCTCTGTGTTTTGGTAAGATGATCAATCGTAATGTTAGATTGTCTTGATTTTAGTCTTATTTACCAAAGGATCAGATTTGCTTTTAGTGTGTAGTGTGTAAGCTCCATGTTTTTTCGTAATATTGTCAGGTGACATTAGCATTGTATATTACTGGGCGAAGTTCCTCGGATAAGAGTTCTTCCCTAAAGCCTCATGTCTCAGGAAATCTTGTACATGACTGGTACTGGCATAATGCATTTTGGATATGTACTACTTTCTTGTCCCATAAACCGTTGTTTTTAAGTTATAGATTCTGACTCCTGCCCGAGCAAAGCTAAGTAAGAATATGTACTCTGGTACTATGTAGAGTTTGAGACAACTATTTGGTCAGGATGATTCTGTAGAAGTCCTAGAGTGTTGAGTAGTTTCTCCTCAAACGGTTGTAGCTTCCACATTAGTTCTATCAACAGCAGTGACTTAACTTTTCAACTTTTCTACCGAAACTTAAAGTTCTGGGTTCTGTCTTTACTTGCTTCTTCCAAACGACAGCTTCAATTTTTCTCATCTAGTTTGTTACATGTGATAGGTGGTTTGGAATACAGCTGAATCCTCAGTTTCTGAGCATCGATCTCAAGTAATCCATCTTTCTGTTTTTTCTTCTATTTGTCATCCGCGGCTGCTGCATCAAATGCTTCAGTTTGCTCAGTACACATATCAAGTAGCAGTTTAATGATACTATCTACAGTTATGCATGTTTATGATGATGGGAATTATTCTTTGTGTAGGTTTTTCTTTGTCAGAGCCGGGATGATGGGATGGCTGCTTATCAATCTCTCTATTTTGGCGAAAAGTGTGCAGGATGATTCACTGAGTCAGTCGATGATTCTTTACCAGATCTTCTGTGCGGTAAATTTGGGTTTACTTACACCCCTGCTTCATGAAGTTCTGATCATCTGTGTTTGTTAGTTTTGATTAATTTTTGTAATTGCAGTTATATATATTGGACTACTTTGTTCATGAAGAATACATGACCTCTACGTAAGTTCATGGATGTTGTGGAAACACATTTGCCTTACCAAATATGATCATTTCCATTATTACAATTGCTTTGAATATACTCTTTTCAGATGGGATATAATTGCAGAGAGACTGGGCTTCATGTTAGTCTTTGGAGATCTCTTGTGGATTCCTTTCACTTTTAGCATTCAGGCATGTAACTGTGAGCTTGAACACAAACAAAACATAATTTTTCTCATTGACTGTATCTTTTTGGCACGTTACAGTTATTCTCGGAATAATATCGTTCTTAAATGCTTGATCACTCTGTGACTGGATTATCTTCTCTCTGGTACAGGGCTGGTGGTTGTTGCACAACAACAAAGTAGAACTAACAGTTCCTGCTATTGTAGCCAATTGCCTTGTCTTCGTGATAGGGTAAGTTCTGAGTCATTGGGTTATTTTACATTCTTAAAAAGTACACTAAGAAACTTACAAGTTCTTTTTTGGCAGGTACTTGGTTTTTCGAGGGGCTAACAAACAAAAACATATCTTTAAGAAGAACCCAAAAACACCTATATGGGGCAAGCCTCCAGTGGTAGTTGGTGGAAAGTTACTGGCTTCAGGCTATTGGTATCATCTCTTTATCGTTCTCTTGTTTCTTTGTTTGATTTCGCCTTCTGTCTTTGATTGTTCATCATGTTGTGAAAGTTGCGCAACAAAACGTGTTTGATAACATAGGTGCTCTTTTTTTTATATATTACAGGGGAATTGCAAGGCACTGTAATTATCTTGGGGACTTGATGCTCGCTCTCTCCTTCAGTTTGCCCTGTGGAATAAGGTAACTTCTTCTGCTTGAGCTCATCTTACAACTACCAAAGTGATGTATAAACTAATACCAATATCATAATATTTTAACGTTGAGAAACACCAATTGGGCTACAAGATTAAAGATGTTCATCTTAAACCTGATATAATTGATTGATAAATGTCTAGGACTCTCTTACTTTTAAGACAACCATTTGAACTGTTCCAAAGCTTTCAAGTTCATTTTTTCCAAAGCTGTTTGTATGATGCTGTCTTTTGTATATTATCAGTTCTCCAGTGCCATATTTCTACCCAATATATCTTCTGATACTGTTGATATGGAGAGAACGAAGAGATGAGGTTAGATGTGCAGAGAAGTACAAAGAGATCTGGGCAGAGTATCTTAGACTTGTCCCGTGGAGAATACTTCCTTATGTTTATTAGATGTGCCAAGTCACGAATACTTTCAGATTCATGCTCTTGTGTCTTATTTTTTCATCATCTTGTTTTCAATTTGACATGAGAAGATCCCATTATGGCCTTTTAGCAATGCTTGATTAATACTTTCAAGTGTACACGTTTGAGAATTCTACTCCAGTCCTTTGTTGTACTTCGCATCGATAGCAGCATTTTCTGATTTTTATTACTGGGATGTTTTAATCACCTCAACAAAACAAAAACAAAAAACAATTTGTTTGATGTTAAATGTCGTGATGGAAAAGGAAAATTACTAATAAAGGAACAAATTGATGTTGAATGGTGCTGAATATGTTTATTGGAGTAAATGGAAAAAAATAACAAAAATAGAAATTGACAATTACAAAGTTTGAAATATATGTATATTCTTTGTTTTTGGTATATGTCTTTCCTTTTTGTTTGTTGTAAATAAAGGGTTTTGTTTCCCTTTTTCCCCTATTTTCTTCTTCAAATAATGTATTTCCCTATCATATATCATTTTTTCCCTCAAAATATTAGGGGATCGAATATCATAACAGTGGTTTCCATTTATAATCGTATTTTACTTATAGTAGATTATTAGAGTTTTTTAAAATTTATTTGTCAACGAGCTTTATTAAAAAATATTATATACACATTATTAAAATTGCTGAAATACGTGTCAAAGACTCGTTACAATTGAAGATGTATCATTTAATAATAAGTTGAACCTAAAAAGATAGATTTCAAATAAACCATTTGAAGATCCTAAAAGACACCTTTAAAACTTCAAAATGTCAATAACAAAAAAAACTTCTAGACTACATCATGTATGATGTGTCGGTATAAAGCAAAAAGACTTGGATAGTTTTTGATGATTCATGGATTTCGATAGTTTTTGATGATTCATGGATTTGAAGAGTCGCAGCTGTTTTCGGTTATGTGTCTCCATCTAAATCTCAGATCTATAATGTTCGGAGATATCAAAGTCACACTTTACTGTGAATCTAGAAACACATAACATTTCTCCATAAAAGAATATTCTAACCAGATTCGTAGTCAACTATTAAGTGTTTATATTGATTAAAAATTATTATAAAATTAATAATGAATGTAATTATATAATTCGTATGACGGTTTGGGCCGTAACGAGGCCGAAGTCATGCTTTTCCATTAAATAATACCCAGAGTTACCAACTTACCCTCTAGCTAATTTGCTGCAAATACACGCTATTAAGGGGTAGAATTGAGATTAGCCAAAAACTACCACTAAAAAAACCATGTGAAGATCCAACGGCTGATAAGGCTGTTTCTTGGGGAACATGCAAAGATCTGACCCTTGAATTAACATTTTCACCAACCAATAGAGACTTCATCCGCAGCTATAAAAACCAACCCCTTTCTCTCTACTGGTCCACCATTCGTCTGCCTACTTCCGCATCTTCTTCTTCTTCTCTCTAATTTCTCGATCTTTCCGTCCACCATGTCTGCCTTCACCAGCAAATTCGCCGGTAAGTTCTGTTTCTCCATTTAGCTTTTTAGATTCGTCTTTCGTAATCCTTGAGAAGCTCTAGATCTCTTGTTTTGCTTCATATTGAGCATATTTAATTATTGTCTAGATCTGGTTTACTCTTGAGCTTAGCTTTTCTATGAGAGTTGAATTAGATCTGTCGATGATACTGGCTAAAAACTAGCGTAGATCTGATTCCGTTCTCATCAGTTTTACTGTCCTTCGGATTTTTTTTTCCTTCATTTTATCGATCTGTTATCTAATAAACGAACGGATCTAGTATTCATGATCTGAAGTTTTTTGTCCTTTGTCTCTTATGGTGTGATTGATTGTTTGAGTGTTTACCTATGCAGATGAGTTGATCGCCAACGCTGCCTACATCGGCACACCTGGAAAAGGTATTTTGGCCGCTGATGAGTCCACTGGTACCATCGGAAAGCGTCTTGCTAGCATCAACGTCGAGAACGTTGAGACCAACAGACGTAACCTTCGTGAGCTTCTCTTCACTGCCCCTGGTGCCCTCCCATGCCTCAGTGGTGTCATCCTCTTCGAGGAAACTCTTTACCAAAAGAGCTCCGATGGTATAAATTTAGTGATTCTTCTCTATGTTTGTTATGTATGTGGTTTATAATTGTTTCTTATTGATGATGGTGATTCTTTGTACAGGCAAGCTTTTTGTTGATATCTTGAAGGAAGGAGGAGTTCTTCCCGGTATCAAGGTTGACAAGGGTACCGTTGAGCTTGCTGGAACCAACGGTGAGACCACCACTCAAGGTCTTGACGGTCTTGGGGACCGTTGCAGGAAGTACTACGAAGCTGGTGCTCGTTTCGCCAAGTGGCGTGCAGTCCTCAAGATCGGTGAGAACGAGCCATCTGAGCTATCCATCCATGAGAACGCTTACGGATTAGCCAGATACGCTGTTATCTGCCAGGAGAACGGTCTTGTACCAATTGTCGAGCCTGAGATCCTAGTCGATGGATCCCATGACATCCAGAAGTGTGCTGCCGTGACCGAGCGTGTTCTTGCAGCTTGCTACAAGGCTCTAAGTGACCACCACGTCTTGCTCGAGGGAACCCTCTTGAAGCCTAACATGGTTACACCCGGGTCAGACAGCCCCAAGGTTTCACCTGAAGTCATCGCCGAGCACACCGTCCGTGCCCTTCAGAGAACCGTCCCAGCAGCTGTTCCAGCCATCGTCTTCTTATCTGGTGGACAGAGCGAGGAAGAAGCTACCAGGAACTTGAACGCAATGAACCAGTTGAAGACCAAGAAGCCATGGTCATTGTCTTTCTCATTCGGACGTGCGTTGCAGCAGAGTACCTTGAAGACATGGGCAGGCAAAGAGGAGAATGTCAAGGCAGCTCAAGAGGCTTTGTATGTGAGGTGCAAGGCTAACTCAGAAGCCACTCTTGGAACCTACAAGGGTGACGCCAAGCTTGGTGATGGAGCAGCAGAGAGCCTTCACGTGAAGGATTACAAGTATTGATCATCGTCCATGCTTTGAGATTGTGACCTTTGTCATCTTCCTGGATATATTTCTAGGGATTTTTCGTTTTTCTACTTTGACAATATCGGATTAAAGGTGTTCCTTCAGTTTTCCTTTTGGATTTGTGTTTTTTGATTTTGCTTGGGTTGTGTTTTCTAGAATTGAGTGTTTTTAAAACACGCCCAAATAAAAAGCCACTTGAGGTTATTTCTGTTGAACCTGAAAATACCTCTTTTGGGGACTTGAAAAAAATCAGTTAAATGTTCATTCTCCACTAATTTAGCCTCTAATATGTACGTATCTTTTCATTCTTGTTTCTGTCCCTGAAATCTCGAGATTACATTCTAATTATTCAAATGCCGATGCTAATCAGCCTATAGAAATGGGCATATTGTTTGGATATGTGTAAAATTCCTTCTCCACTAAATTATAGTAAAAAGCATTTTGCTTTCCAGATCATGTATTACCAAATACTAGTTGTTAGTATATAGATTAGCACATTGATGTGTTTGTAGGATCGAATCTTACCAGCTCGATAGAATAATCTAATCTACTTATAATCATACAAAAAAAAAAGGAAAATTACTAAGTAAAAGATGGAATAGTGTTATCTACAAAAGATATTGTTTTACATTTTCTCATACAAAAGTTAAGGGAGAGATTTCACATTTTGTATATGAAATACAATAATTGGAAAATAGAATTCATCCGTCTATCTATTGTGGGTCAAGGAAGAGTCATGATTTGCTTAGACAATTTCAAAAAGCTCGACGGCGAGAGGCTTTACTTTTTCATAAAGCAAAAAATAGTTTAGGGGGGAAAAGAAATTAAAATAAAGCTAAAAATTATACTAATAAATAAATTAATATTCAAAAAAAAAACAAGAGAATTAAAAAAAAAAATCAAACTTACAAACCATTTAGCATTCTACGAAGAAGCATTATCCCCCTAATAATGGTTAATAAAAAAAACACGAAAACCCTTCATAATTTTACATATCAAACCCACAAATCATAGCCAAATAAATAGAAAAAAAAAACTAAAACACCCAGAAACTTAAGATAACATTCCAAAATGTAAAAAAAAATAAAGTAAATACACCAAATAGAACCATTATAACCCTAAAACCAGATTAGTTCCTTAATTGGTTGGTCTTGTCTTGTGAGATGATAGCTTTTACTCAGTGTCTATGCTCTTGCTTAGCTCCTCCAGCTTCTTCAACCTCAGCTTCTCGCTTTCTCCAACCAACTGTCCCATCTCCCCAGGGAGAAATTTAAGAAAACAGATAACAAACCATTAAGGTTAATAAACGTGAAAAAACACTCTCGGTTCATCGAAATAATTATAACCGAGGATTCGAAACTAACCTCCATTAGCTTGGTGATGAGCTGAACTTTCTCACGGTTCTTCTCATTGAATGAATCCAATGCTTCTTTGTATTCCCTTTCCTGTTTTCATGTCATCATCAACACAAACAAAAATATGAGCTTTGGGGTTTTGTTTATTGAATCAAGAAGCTAATACCAAAACAAAGTCTTTAAAATATTGACTCCTGCAATATCAAATCTTTTGTCAACACATAACAACCCAAAAACCTGTTCAGTTGACATTTTGGGATTCAGTTTTGAGTTTGGTAAAGACCAAAACATAATATAACAAAGAACCCACCACCAAAGCAACTACCCTTGACAAGTAAAATTACCTTCTTTTGAACTGTAGATCCTAATGGTTTGAGTTCTTTGTTGACGCTATCAATCTTCTTACGCACCCAATTTACTTCCTTCCTCATGGGATCTGCCATAGATTCAAGCTCCTGAAATAAATAAATAAAACACGATCATTTCCACAAAGTTAAACCCGTTCCCTGAGAACAGAACAGAACTCAGAGAACAACTACAGCAAGCAAATGTTCATGTCCAATCTTCAGAAATTTACAACAAACTCATTTAACTCAAGAGCAAAACAAATTGAGTACATGCAAAACTATCTGGTTACAATCATAAATTCATGACCCAATTCGAATTCCAAGTTGATATACAAAAGGGAAAAAATAAATTTCCCATTTTGCCTATCCCCTGAGTTCAAAATCTACAACTTTTACATCTATAAAACCCTAAACTTCCAAAATTGCAGAAACATCACCAAAAATTCAAATCACAGCAAATACAGACACAACACAAACTGCATGAGTGTAATTTCAAACCATTTGAGCTTCAAAATCTCAGAAAAAGAAAAAAAAAATGTGAGATCTTCGAAAGTTTGAAAAAAAGGAAAAGAAAACAAACCTCGCGGATATTAGCAAGACGACGAGTCTCTTCCTCGACACGACCAAGCTGAGCCTTAACCCTTTCACGAACCTCCATTTTCCTCTTCTCAATCTCATCCTCTTTAGCTCTGAAAGCAGAGAGAGCAGAACGAGCCATCTCCTCGTCTTCTTTAGACATCTGACTACTAAAACTCAAGCTCATCATCTGCTGCGGAGGCTGAGGCTGTGTAGGTTCCGTAGTCGTAGTCTGCATCTTCGATTTCACCACTTCCCCCTCCTTGTTCTTGTCTTGGTCACCACTGAAACCAGTCTTCTTCTTCCTCAAGCCGCAACAAGAACGAGACTGACGCAATTCCTCAGTGGAATTCCGATGGGGGTCTTCGATTAAACCTATCTTTACTGATTTGGGAATGAAACTAAGCAAAAAGAAAAGGTTTGGTTTTTAATAAGAGAGTTTCTTGAGTGGGTTTGTTTGTGTGTGGTGGGTAAAAGGTTTCTTCTCTCTGTCCTCTTCTTCTCACTCTTTTATATTTTGGTTCTTTTCTCTTTTATCTTAAATTTAATAATCATTTTACTTTGTTTTACGTATCCGTTAAGTTCGTATACTTCTCAACAAACATTTTAATATACTTTAATTACGTGTCGTTTACAGATTGTTTTTTCTCCTGTTTTTTAGTTTAGTTTTGTTCGAATTGTTATTATTTGGTTTAATCCTAAATATTTGGATGTTTGTTTGGATATTTTGCGAGTGTAGTGTAGTTAGATTTATATATTGATATGAGGAATTTTTTTGAATTTGAATCCTTAAATTTAGCTACAGCTTCGTTTTGGATGCGAATATACTAACAAGGTTGCTTAATTAAACTGTGTATATAATTATATATATAGTAGTAATCTTTGTTTATTATAGTAATCTTTATTTTATTTTAATTATAGTATAAAAGATTCTGAAATAATATTGATTTTGTCGTCTGGTGTTTTGACATTAATATGTTAACGGTCAGTTTCAGGAATCATTTAATGTTGTCTTTCTCTTGTTTTTGAAGCGTTGTATCATTTATTGGGGTTAAGTAGATGCAAAAATTTTTTTTGGTGTTTTGTATAGTTTTTAATTTTATTTTGGGGGATATGGCCACTTGGCGTTCTCTTCGAATTTTTAAAAATGACTCCATCTTTCGAAAAAAAAGAAGATGACGGCTGTAAAGCAAAAGCCGATATGTTTTAAATTACTATCAACTCTCTCGATAATAATAATGTCTAATGACGTTGTTGTGTTACGAATACTATCATCTAAACTCAGAGATGTATATATATAATACATGTTGATAAACAAACAAACAAACATTTGGTTTATACTTGTACTGTGTACATAACGAGAGATTGAGAGTTGATATTAACTCTTCAAGCTAAATATACTATCCATTTGCAGTACGTAATTAACACTTTTTCTATTTTCTCCTAATTGCGATAATCTGATATGCATGCTACTTAAAACTCTAACAGCTTTAGAAAAGTAGAGATATTAAAGAGTATATATTTGCTAAAATTAAATAAACAGAAAAGCAAAATGCCAACCAAAGGTGCCCAATCATATGATATGAGCAACAAACATATATCAGCTTTTTACTTACTCCGGACTCCGGAGACAGCTTCAAGATGCAAACAAAATTATAAGAGACATTCTCATAGAACAAAAATAGTAGATACTGTGAGAACAAACGAAACAAACCATATGCAAAAAAATGAACTATACCTAACAATGAATATTTCATTCATTCATTTACTTCACATAGTTACAAACTCACAGCGATTCATCCATTTGCACAATAGAAATGGAATCTATAATACATCCTGTCTCATCTATCAGTACGTATGAGAAATTTTATAATTATCTAAACACAAATTAGAAAAATGGGAAATAATGAATGGGAGAAATAAAGGTGTATGCATAAGAAGGTAGGAAGAGGCACCGAGGCAGCTAGCTGACTAAACGCGTTTTAGACAGTAATGATCAACTTCTTTCCAACTCTTACCTTCTTCTTCTCTTCTTTAAACTATTTATTTATTTATTTGGGAGCTTTGCCGTCGACACCATCTTGTCACGGAATATTCATTCAAAGCAAACAATACAAATTTTACAAAAGATTTCGAACTTGAAAGATTTAACCGTGATTCGTTAAACTTTTGCTCATCAGTCTACAACGATCGGATTCTCTCTCTAATAGAACATTGTCAGAAAACAAAAAAGCATTCATGTGTCTTGATTGCTCAAAATCTCAAGTATATATCATGAAGTCGTCATAATGTTTTGTTGAGATTATTATAAGTTGGTTAGATTGTCAACCACTATTGCATACTAGTTAATCCGAACAAACTTACATGCACTCTCTGTTTATCTCAGTACTTACACATGCATCAATCAATATAAAAGACTAAAAAGAGTCAAGTTTTGATTGGAAACGAAGCAACGATCGAGTACGGTTTCACTTCATAAGTTACTCTAACATACAACAATTAATGTCTTCTTCATTCATTCATGGACATGTTGTATGAGTCAGTGAGGTCAACAGAAAACACTTTACAGATCGGAAATTTTAAATGTTGAATGTAGTAGAATTAGAAAAATAATATATATTACAAAAAAATGAAGTTCCAAATGAAGAAAGCATAGAGATGATTACCTAAAACAAAAGGCATGATGATTGATCAGTACTCATTAGTGCTACAGAGAAGAACCGGTGGCCGTTGGAGGACCCCGAACGTGTATTCTTAGGTAATATACTCAGACAAAATGTACGGTCTCTATTGCGAGACATCTCATTCTCATGGACATGGTAGGTTCCATCTAACTGTGGTCCTTAAAACAAAAGCTAATCCTCCAGGAATGGTTAACATATAATATATAAAAAAGCCCATAAAGAATCATTCCAAATTGAATATCGTAAGCCCATTAAGGAACATTAGACGTTTGCTTGTTAAGTTGGATCATGATGATTTTATAATGGGCCTTCTTCTGTTCATTGCAAACGTAAATTAGTATACTATAATCAACATAATTTTAACCGTTAATAACCGTATACTGCTAAATGGTTTAATAAGATTTACGGGTTTACAAAACTAACCGTGATAGTTACTTTTACGAGTATATGGCACGTGATACCACGTGAGTGACTCGCGCGTGCTGGCGTGACACAAACCTTTTCACTTGATGCAAAATATGTATAATTTTTTGTTACAAAGCCACAAAAAGAGAGACTAGACTAGACCAGAGAGTTGTAGTAGACCTCCCAAGTTGACTCACCATGACCCCCTTTGTTTTTATAAAATTATTTTGACACAATGACCCAAAAAGACGTACCTGTCTTGTCATGGTCATGTGACATCAAACTGAATTCATATATGACCCAAAACTGAGCCCATTACTGAACTTTTTTAATGTTTCTGAAAGTGTAGATTTTGGACAAAGTGTAGGTAGTGTGAGATCTATTACCGCAAAATCATTCCTTAAAATGTCCGGTTTTGCTAAATGTCCAGGGCTTGTCAGAACCAAATTAGAGATGAACATAAAAAAGTTGTTTGGTACATTTATAATTATCAACTTAATTTCCTAAGCTTTCCCATAGTTTATAAACTTACAGCTTATAGTTATAGTGATAGATATGCGAGAAAACTTAGAAATATATAGACGGTAACATTTTGGAGCAGAAAGGTAAAGAATCTCACACATGCCGACGAAGAAAAGATGTAAAACATTGCACATATAATTGGTCATTGGGTCACACATTACATAACATAGTGGGACTCACTGTCTGCGCCCTCGTTGGAAACTAGAGCTCCCTAAGATGTTTTAGTTGTCCGGCTCGACTCGGCTCGTGTGAAATTTTCAAATCTGTGAGTGAGTTAGGTCAAGGTGGAGAGAGTTTGGGTTGGACGTGGACCTTCTACTGATCTCATCTGGTCTTAGTTATAGCACGTGACCCAACCCTCATCCACTGAATCTATAATCCTTTTTTTTTTTTTTTTTTGGTAATATCTCTATCTTGATTTTAGAGTAAGACAACATATCTAGTTTTGTAATAATATATCTTCAAGCTCCATGCTAAACACTTGGAACATGAGCAACTAATACAAATGTAGTATATAGTAATGTAAACTAATGCTTTCAACAAATCAAATGGATTATAAATTTAGTCTGGATTTTTGTTGTTTTTGTTACCTTTACAGTAATTTAAGCTTAGTGTTTTCTTGATTAAAAGAGACATACAATGTTCTTCTTCTTTATTTCTATAAGGACATATATACCAATGTGTTCTTTGCCTTCGTGTGGTAGATTCATTATCATCAATGTCATTACGTTCACACATTGCTTTCAGTTTGCTTCCTAATAGTTAGGACAGAAGAAAATGCCTAGAGATGTTATCATTTTTGTTTTGGTACATAACAAGTTTTGGCCCAAAGAGATTAGTGTACAAGATGATCCGTTAGTACAGAACTACAGAGGAGCAAAACGGAACGTTGAGTGCATATAATATATAAATGCCGCCGAAACTGGTGGGAGTGAATGAACAGAACAATAAGAAACTTTGAGAAAAGCTCTCTCATCATCATATCATAGCCAAAGGAAAGGGCTGGTATGGCTCACTCCTACATGAAATATCGTTGTCGTCCTTCTCATATTTATTACTTTATTTCCTCAAAACAACAAAATAATGCTATCGTTTTTTGTTTTGGCACCACCAAATAAAGATACTTTGAAAATATTTAATGCCTTTATTCATTTCAGCCAAGTGAAAGAAGAAGATATCAAAATAAATATTAAATGTTTTTCTAACTTCATTTTTAATAAATGTTTCCAAGTTCACTTGGCCTTTTCTGGTAATATTATTATTCTCTGCAATCGATGTGTTTAGATATATACACTACTAGCTACTTATCTAGCCATGTTTTTTTATTCTTTTTTTTATATAAAGATAATGTTTAGTATGTAAAAGAAAGCTTAGAAAACCACACAGACGTTACATATTATATTTTTAAACAAATTATAATGCTAAGTATGTAACAAATGTAAAAAAAACAACGTCGGTTACAAATTAGAACTAGCTAAATAAAACAAATTATTAGCTAAAGACAAGCATGGTTTAAGAGTTAAAGACCAGTAAAATGCGAAAATAGTTACATAGAAATTTTGGTGAACTTAATGCTATATTAAGTAGTCAAGTCACATAAATTTTTGTAAAAAATCAGAGTATCACATTATTATACTGTATGCTGCAGCTCACTCAAAACATAGAGACTACACAACAGCAGTTGACTGATTTAGTCAAATCCAAAAGTGATTATTGCATATTAACTGAAGACTAATACATTTGTAACACAATCTCTGAAACAAAATGACATCTGTGTCACACAAAATGAAGGTTACTTTTCTAATCACATTGAATGAATCTTTAAATTACATTATCTTAATATAGTCTTCTTTTCTTGGCTTCTCTGTAACCTACTTATGGAATATTATTAAAATGAGATTAAAAAGAATTGATATTTCCAAGGCAGTGAGACATAAACACTGCAGGTTACTATCTCTCCCATCTGCATCTTGCAGTGAGCTTTCCTTCTGGGGTTTTCTGACTTACCATAATTTTATATCACATAAAGAAACAATTTTTAAAACCAATCAGATATTATATTATAAAACCACTCTAAATTTTTGTTTATGCTCTCAACTGTCTTGTCTCATAGTCTAAACACTTTTCTCTAGCTAGCTCTCTCCAAAAAAAGAAGAAGTAAAAAAATAAATAAAGAAAAGGTTCTTTTGATTTTTGGGTGTTTTACATCAGAAGCCAAACAAATAAGACTTTTGTTGTGGTTGTCTTTGCTTATTAAGCCAGACTCTCTAGAAACAAAATAAGTGAAGGGAAAAAAACTATCCCAAAAGCAACCAACACATTTCTCTGTCTCTCTTTCTCTCTCTCTCTTTCACTCACTCTCTCTTTGTTCCATGGACTTGCAACTGAAACAATGGAGAAGTCAGCAGCAGAGTGAGTCAGAAGAACAAGGCTCTGCAACTAAGATATCAAACTTTTTCTTTGATCAGATTCAGTCCCAAACTACTGCAACTTCTGCTGCTGCTCCTCTTCCTCTCTTTGTCCCTGAACCCACATCTTCCTCTTCTTTCTCATGCTTCTCTCCCGACTCTTCTTCTTCTTCTTCCAGGTTCCTCAGTAAGTTGTTTTTAAGGGATAAGCCTCCTTTTACTTTTCAGTCAAATGGTGAAGTTTAATATGTAGAGAAATATATTTTAATCTGAGGTTCCTATGTTAATCCTTTTTTTTTTTTGTAGAGGTAGGAAACTTTTTCAGCTGGGCACAGTGGCAAGAACTTGAGCTACAGGCACTGATCTACAGATACATGTTGGCTGGTGCTTCTGTTCCTCAAGAGCTCCTTTTACCCATCAAGAAAAGTCTCATCCATCAATCATCCTCTATGCATTTCCTTCACCATCCTCTTCAACATAGTTTTCCTCATCAACAACCTTCTTGTCAGTCTCTCTCTCTCTCTTTGAAAGAATCTTTATTTCAAAGAAAGATGCTTTTTGCTTTGGTGTTGGAGTTATGTTTCCAAGATCTAGAAATTCCAATACATATGTATACATCTCTGCCATATTAATATTTTAAAGCCTTTTCCTAGAAGATCTATGCTATGAGCATCATAGAAGTAGACTAGTTTGGTTATAGAAGCATTCTTAATCATTGTCTTGAGTGAGATCTTTGTTGGTTGTTACTAATGGACACACACTTAATAAAAAAACAGGGTACTGGGGAAGAGGAGCAATGGATCCTGAGCCAGGGAGGTGCAAGAGAACCGACGGCAAGAAATGGAGATGTTCGAGGGATGTTGTAGCCGGTCACAAGTATTGCGACCGCCACATCCACCGTGGACGCAACCGTTCAAGAAAGCCTGTGGAAACCGCCACAACCACCACCACAACTACAGCCACAACCGCCCCATCTTCTTTTGTCTTAGGAGAGGAGCTTGGTCATGGACCAAACAACAACAACTTCTTCCCCTCTGGTTCATCTCAACATCTCCACCTTAGTCATCAACAAAGGTACTTGAACAAAAACACTCTGTTTAATTGAAGTCATTATTAGCTTTGTTACTCAAAACATAGTTTTGCATAAATTATGTTTGCAATTATCACAACCTTGTTGTTTGGGAAATAGTCATATCACTGTGAAGTATTGCTGTGAAGAAAGGGGTAATGTTGGCAATTGGGTGACAACAGAGACTTGTCATCCTTTGTGATAAAACATTATTCTTTCTTTTTTTTCTTCTTCTTTTGCTGAGTGAGATAATGATAACAGTTGGATTTGATAGAATCTAATTTTTTTACTAGTTGGGTGAGACTTTTCAATCAGAGAAATAGAAAGAGAAAGAGAAAAAGATAGAAATATGTGTATATTATGCTGCTTATGTATTTGAAATAATTAGATTGGTAGGACCTCAAGTGAAAGCTGACCAAACCTGCATAGAAGCAACAAAAAATAAAGCTCTCAGATTCTGCAACCACTTACTCTCAAACACACATTTGTGACAATTTACCAAAAAACAACTGATTCACTTATTTCTCTAACCTTTCATTATTGAATTGATCAGTCTACTTAAATGGATACAAGTTTTAACTTTCTTGTTGTAATTGTTCAATCTTTTTTTTTATTGTGACAGTTGTTCTTCAGAGATGAAACAAGAAAGCAACAACAGCAGTAACAATCACAAGAGGCCATATGAAGCTCACAATGGATTCAGCAATGGAAGATCAGACGATGGTCACATCTTGAGGCCTTTCTTTGATGATTGGCCACGATCATCAGACTCTACCTCCAGTCCAATGAGATCATCCACTTGTCATCTTTCCATCTCCATGCCTGGTAACGGTAACACTTCTTCAGATGTTTCTCTAAAGCTTTCCACAGGCAATGAAGAAGAAGAAGAAGAAGAGAACATGAGAAACAACAACAACAATGAGAGGGAGCAATTGAATTGGTGGAGCAATGGAGGGAACCATCATAATATGGGTGGACCATTAGCTGAGGCCTTGAGGTCAGCCTCTTCGACACCAAGTGTTCTTCATCAGATGGGAATCTCAACTCAAGTCTTTCATTGAAGAAAACTGTTGTAATCTTTTGTTGTCTGGATTTTTGTTCTTCATTTTGTTGGTTTTTGAATTGTTTTGTTTCCTGGTATGCTAGTATATTTATGTCTGAAGTTTGAGACTTTGTGTAATGAAACTTTTGTTTCTCAATCAAATTAATATGATCCTCTGCAAGTAAGTAACCTCAACAAGAGAGGTTGATTATTTGAGTTTTCACTTTAGCTAAACCGAATCAATTTCGGAAAACCAATTAAACCACCTCGATTGTAGGCGGTTTCCGGTTTAAATTGAACACTCAGCTAGACAGGAAAGGTTTAGGGAAAACCAAAAATTTCTTGCTCATCTTCTTTCTCTCTACCGGCGACGGTGAAGCTTCGAGCTAAACCGGAATAAACCTTTTCCGGTACTCGATTGCTGTTTAAGGATTGAGCTTGACATCAACGATTTCGTAGTGGGTTTTAGATTATGAACACAGAAACACTCTGATTCCGCCATTGCTGGTCACTTGCTCTTCGATTCAGGTACACAGAAACACTCTTTTAGTACTGCTGCTATTGATTTACAATGTTGAGGTCTTGAGAATAGGGTTCGCTTCGATACAGTTAACATAACCATTTCTTCTCGCCATATTCCGTGCTCCGGTGCCAGAAAGTGTCCGACTTTTTAAAGTACGTCATGAAAATTTGAACCTTTCTGATTAGTTTTAAAACCCTTCTTCCAAAATTTGTGATTGAAGGTTTTTGACACAAAAGTACTCGAATTTATGCACTTTATTAACTGATTATCTTAATTTTTAGTCTCAATTTTGGACAAGTGTTTCTGGAAGTTTGATTCAACTTAGTTGGTCGACAGGAAATGAAGTATGTGAAGCCATTGAGCTTATTGGGTAATGCGTTGAAGTCAAAACTATCAGTCCCTGGTCGTTTTCTGGGTTTAGATGTTGGTGATAAGTATGTTGGATTAGCTATTTCAGATCCTTTAAATATGGTTGCGTCTCCATTGAGGTACATATCATTCTGTTTCATCCTCTCTTTTCGATTCAAAAGTGTGTCAATTAGATGCTAGAACATTACTTTCACTGTTGTTTTCGAAAATGCAAATGTTTTCTAGTTGAATTACTGAATGTTAATTAAATATCTATCAATCAGCATAGCTGTTGCTAATGTTTGACATCTCTTGCAGTGTTCTGCTTAGGAAGAAAACAAACATTGACTTGATGGCTACAGATTTTCAGAACTTGGTAATGTGCTTAAGTTTTTATTGTTCCTGTAAATTTTAGAAGTGGAGAAACTATAATTTCTTAGTTGTTTTGGACAATGGAGAAGAAGGCTTGATAGTGGTGTAGATCAGTGTCTCTACTAAGAGCGCAATTATTGATCATTACTTCCTTCGTACGGCTATTTGTGGTTATTGGTGATTAAATGTAGTGTTTGATGTCTCTGCAAAACATTACTGTTGAGTTATATCCATGACGAGTCCTTGACATTGTAGATATCTATCTATCAACAAGTAGATAATGAACTTTGTTTGATTACACCAATCATTTGCTTTACTGATCTCGTTGTCTCATGCAGGTCAAAGCATTTTCTGTGTCGGGCTTAGTTGTTGGCTATCCATTTGGTAAACTAAACAATGTAGAGGATGTAAGCTTTTTTGCCACTTAATTGAAAAGTATATTCCCTCTTTTCTTGCACTTATAACCAAATGAAGATTTTTTTAACATGGATTAGGTTGTCACTGTGAATCTTTTCATCGAGGAACTTCGTAAAACCGAAAAACTCAAGGATGTGAAGTACACATATTGGGATGAGCGATTATCATCAAAGGTATAATTTATGCCAGGATCTAGTAAGTCCTAGTAAATACTAGTGTTAGCATTTGACGCCATAACTTATTAGTATTTGACGCCATAACTTATAAGCACTTGATTCTCATGTAATATAATCCACAGACAGTTGAACTGCTGTTGAAGCCCTTGAATCTACATCCAGTTCAAGAGAAGACAATGTCGGACAAGTTAGCTGCAGTTGTTATACTTCAGGTACGGTTATTCTGGTTTAGTTAGAAACGAGGAAATCTTTGTTTGCTTTCCTCTTGTCATTCGTGGAAAGCTCTTTTACGTTTGATTGTTACTTGCAGGAGTATTTAGATTACGCTAACAGGTGTGTAAACACTGAGCCAGCAGAGTAAAAGAATAACGAGTAGTGACAAAATAGCCAAAGCAGCTGTTTCGGATAATGATATGATGATGTTTGATTTGTGAGTTTAACTTATGTATACAAAAATAACAGACATCATGTATCAAACAAATTAGTATCCTCTAAGAAGTTTTGTTTTGGCCGCATTCATATCTTTTAAACCGTTGGTAAAGCATTTGTTTATCGTACATCGTAGCTCAGATTTAATAAAAAGGACTTGAACAGAATCTAATACCAAAAAACTCAAAACAAATTTTCAGACTCTTTTAAGGTAAGATCCGTGTGGATTGTGTCTCCTTATTGCAAGGTTCCAACAGTCTTGTTGATTTCCTCCAGTTTCTTTATCCTTAATCTTTCACTTTCAGCCAGTAGCTGCCAAAGAAGATCATCAACTCACATTGGATCTGCTGTATGAATCTATAAGCCTTAAAGTTGGTTAAACCAATTACCTCCATTAACATTGAAACAAGGTGAGCTTTCTCTTTGTTCTTTTCGTTGAAAGCTTCCAATGTCTCTTTGTATTCCTTCTCCTGTGAAATTTGGGTTAAATAGAGCTGCAGAGTACAAAATGTGAAAAGATTTTGACAGATGAAATTATGAGAAACCTTCTTCTGACAGCTTTGAGCCAAAGATTTGATATCTCGATTTGCCAAGTCTATTTTCTTCCTCACCATTCCGACTTCTTTTCTCATAGGATCTCCCATAATCTCTAGCTCCTGTTTTAGTAAGAACATTATTAACTTTGTTTGTCTACCATGTTCAACAAAAAAGGCTTTTTTAAAAGAAAACTTACTTCCAGTGTTTGAGTTAAGCATCTTGTAGCTTCCTCTGCAAAACCAAGCCGCTGTTGAACCTTTTCCTTAACACTCAACTTCTTCTTCTCGATCTCTTCTTCTCTGGCTTGAAACCTCGACACCGCAACTTTCCATATCTCTTCATCTTCGTTTTCCTCCATCGGAAGCTTACCATTAGTGGTGTTGACTGCAGAAGCTGCAGCAGCTCCCAAGTTGTTCTTGCTACTCATTTTTGTAGTCTTCTTCTTGTTATTACAACAATTCTCTACTCTATATCTCTCTCCCAATATATATTTATCTACTTTTTCTTAGTGTCTTTTGCTTTTGCTTAAACCTTGTCAAACGAAATAACTTTGCTTTTACACCATCCCAAAATCAAAGCAAGCAATCCCGCCAAAAAGGAAAAGTAATAAAGGGAAAATAAATTCAATTTCGTAATGGAAGTGGAGCTGATCTGATGATGATTTAAGATGTTCTTTTTGGGCTTTTCTTCTTTAATGTTTTTGCAAGTTGCAATCTTTTGTAACATGAACTAAAAATATGAAACTTTTCTCTAAATGGCCTTATCAATGCATGACAAAATGACACTTTAGGCGTAACATTTGCATAATCATTGCAATTTTGACAAATTTGATTTGTTAAAACTAGTATTGGCGGCCCTTATAGGCATATACCGTTTTGTTACTTTTGTGGTTTGATATATGATACATCTTAACAAAAACGTTAGTTTGGTGCTGTAAATTTATTGAAACCCAAATTATGAAAACACAGAATAAAATTAGGCTTCTAGCACAGCAAAAAACTAGAATGAGTATATATATATATTTCTTGAGACTAAAGCTGGTGGAATATATGAGATTATGTCTCAGAGAGCTAGATTTACATATTAGACATTTAGACTTAACTTAGATATAAACTTACAACAACGTTTACTCTGAAACTTTTACCAGAAAATTTTCTCCGTCTTGCTTAAAACAACTCGAACTCAAGATGATCGCCTATGGCTTTACATTCAAGATACCTATTATCACTGCCTCCAGGCGAATCTGCCGCCGCCTCTTGTCCACCACCATACTCGTAGAAATCTGGAAGCTCAGGCGGGATTGCGCACCGGATCAGAGCCCAGTTCAATCCTTCAAAGAAAGGATGTCTTTTGATCTCTGCAGATCCTTTCTCTGACCCGAGCCGGTTCTCTGGTTCCTTAACCAGAAGCCCTCTGATCAGATCCTTTGCCTGAAAGCTCACAAGCGGACTATCTGGAAACTTGAGGTTCTGCAACACAACATTGGCCAACGTCTCGTCGTTGTTATAACCTTTGAAAGGTGTTTTCCCATACAGAAGCTCGTAAAGGAGAACCCCAAAAGTCCACCAGTCAACCGCAGCGCCGTGTCCTTCTCCTTTAATGATCTCTGGGGCTAAGTACTCGTGTGTTCCCACAAAGGAATTGGATCTTGCCTCGGTTGGTTCAGCCACGAGCTGAGGTAATGATCTCTTCAAGTGTTGTTGCGCTTTCGAAAGATGATCAGCCTTCTTCGGCTTTCTACCTTGTTGTTGGTTTGAGGAGAGCCTAGGGCTGAAACAAGAAACCTGGCAAGAAGGTTCGCTGATACAGAATGGTTGTATACAGTTGGATGTGTTGTATGGACCTGAAATTCTTGCGGGATCTTTCCCAGGCGGAGAATTTGACCTGAGAAGAGTCGGGTTCACAGCACAACGGAGTGAGAGGTCGAAATCTGTAAGCATAATGTGTCCATCTTCGCGGACAAGTATGTTTTCCGGTTTTAGATCCCGGTATATGATACCAAGCATGTGTAAATACTCCAATGCAAGGAGAATTTCCGCAACATAGAATCTACAAAAACAAATTTTTATCATCAGTTTTAGTAAGTTAATGATCTAGACGCGAAATGTAAAAGGTAAATCATTACCTCGCTGCAGGTTCAGGGAAACACCGGCCTAGCTGCTTCTGTCTGAGGACATGAAGATCTCCTCCCGGACAATATTCCATGACTAGACAAGACAAATTATCCGAAGTAAATTGCGCGTATAATGTAGGAAGAAAAGGATGGTCCAACATTTTAAGTATTTCTCTTTCTGCTTGTGCCCGTGGAGACTTTTTCCTTCTTGCCAAGAACTCGTTGTCCATGACCTTTATGGCAAACAAACAGTTTGTACCAATCAGCTCGGCGAGATAGACTGTTCCTATATCTCCACAACCGAGTTTCTTCAAAAGGTTGAAATGTCGTAAACCCATAGAGCCGTATTGAACCTTCACATGCTTAATCGCTTCCCATCTCACATCCATCGACATGTGAGGCTTATTCCCACAGCTAAATCTGCTCAGATTGCTCTCCTCACTCATGCTTGTGCTCCTGCTATAATCCCCAAGACTATCTTTTGAACTCAAAGAAAACTCGAATTTCTCACTAGAAGTTGGATTCTCTGTTTCCTTTACATGCATTGCAACGTTTCCACTGTTATTGCTTGACGAAAAATCTTGTTTCATGATGACAATCTCAGCTTCAGAACTTTGACTGACATCACAAGAATTAGAGGAGTTCTCGTCAGATACTTGATGAGCTTCTTTACCAACATTATTTGAAACAGAGCTCAAACTGTCTGAGCAAATCTCAGGATTATGACTAGCAGTATATGAGGGCGGATGGTTATCAATGCTGGTGCTCTTCAACGAACAGTGACATCTCTGGCAGAGAAGTTTATCGGCACTAGAATCTACGGAAGGAATAATTTCTTCATCGTTTTTTGTTGGGTAAGTCGCTGAAACCAGCCCGATCTTCAACTTCTTCTTAAGCAAAATCTTCTTTTTCGGTTGTTTGGGACGTGGAATCATTCTTGTTACCTTGCGCACCGGTTTGCTCTTCTCTGTCTCTGAACTAGGTGCATCATCCAACTTCCCTTTCTGTTCTGAGTCTAAAGCAGATGAAGGAATATTCTTGTCAAGCTCTGTGGCATAAACTTTCTCGCTAGAATGAGAAGGCAGTGAGGTAACATGCTTGTCTATTTCAATCACATCATCTTGAACAAACACATGAGTGGAAGGAGACGCAACATTTTCTTCTAACTCTATCTCATAATCTCCACTCCCAGAACTCAGACAAGACCCAGATTTGTTGGATTTATGCAACAGCTTAATCTCCCGCATTTGATTTTCCACTCCTTGTAATCCCAAACTGGATACAGCTTGAGATGGCTCAGAAATAGGGTTAGAAGGCTCTTCAAACCGCTGAGGCACGCTCTTTGAAGAGCTTGGTTTATCGTTTACAGGCATCGAAGGTATCTGAACCAAACTTCCTTTACCCTTGTCCACAGGAACAAGCAAAGACCTGCTGCTAGTAGATTCATTAGAAACTTGGTTATACAAACTCTTAATCCTGTCTGCTTCTGAGACCCTTGGGGAAGCAGCTGCGGATTTCGACAACCGTTTCTGAGCAGCCATTTCCGACGCCTTGGAAATGCAGCGATCCCTCAAAGCCTGCTTCAGGGAAACCGAATCAGAGAGACCAAAAACTCTAGGCGACTGAGGTGTCCCCGGTTTTTTCATGGATGCAATTCTCTTGGAAGGGCTTGTCGTCCTGCTTGGACCAGCACTTGCACTCGTCTCGTGATTATGGAAAGAAGAACTCATCAACCTCGTTGATGGTTTCACAGAAATAGACTGAAAAAGCTTATCAATGTCATACTCAAGAGAACCATGATACTCTCGCTGCTTCCGCTCCGAATCTTTGCTTGACGACCCCATAACCGATTTACCATATCTCCCTGAATGTTTTGGCAATCTTACTTCATCATCCTTCTCTTCCACAATTTCACAAGCGCCTGCAAACGATCCCATTGCAACAGAGCTTATACAGTAACTAAAACCTCTGAGAAAAATCAAAGCAGAACCGAGTTATTCATCTTGTATGATCCGTTTCAAAACTTCTGGAAACACAATCACAGTTACCTGAAAGAGAATAATCAGAAAAAAACTGGTTACAGAACAGTAACTTAAAATGGAGAGAAATGTGTATGGAGTAGGGATATGAAATGAATGAAGATAAATATAAAAGCAAGGAGATGAAGAAATTGAAAGAGAAGCAACAGATCTAGAAGGCAAATTAATAAGCTATAGGTGTTTCATTATGTTTTTGTAGACTTAATCATGAACCCTACACGAAGTACAGATAGAGAGAGGTACCCATAAATTAATACAGCGAAAAAGAAGACATTTTTATATTGAAAATTTGTTCAAAACCATCTCTGTAATTGAAATCGAAAGATATTTTTCAACATTTGAAATTGAAATTAGAGTCAAGTGATGTGAACAGGAATCGCTAAGAACCCTAAAGATCAAAACTTTTTGCAGAAAAGTTTACGAAAATCAATAAATCAAACCGCGTAAAGAAGAAAGCAAGCTTGGAGTGAGGTAAGAGATCTAACAGCTATGAGGAAACAACATTAAACTCAGATCTCAAAAAATTAAAACTTTACTGAGAAACAAAGAAGAACAGTAGTAGCTGAAGCAATGAGTGAAGAAGATTCGATTTAACCAAAACTAAATATAGCAATTTTTATTTGTTTTTTTTTAAAAGACTAATTTTTTAAACAAAACCCCACAAACAATGTCAAATCATAAGAGAGCCAATGCGTGAACAAAGATAAGGTAAAGCAAACCCAGAAAAGCTTTCGAAAACCTAATACATTGAGCTGAAACTGGACAGACCCAAGTGACCACATTTAGATAATGAAAGGTCAGAATCCAAAAAGTAGAAAAAATTTGAGAGAAACCCACCAAAGAAACCCCTGAATACGGTCCCCAAATCTCATCAAAACATAATAAAGCAAATCAAAGAGAGAGTTACAGAAGATGAACCAAAAAAAAAGTGGAAATGAAGGCGTGCAGAAGCATAAAGGTAATGAAAAAAAGAAAGAAGAAGCTAGCGAGAAACTAAAGGAACAAGGCTTACCCAGGGGGGAAAAAAGCTTGCTTTGGTGATAAATAATTTGGGTTGAATTAAGAGACTGAGATAAACCCTAAATGGCCTTGGAGCTTGAAGAAGTGGAGAATCCAAAGAAAAGGAAGAGAAAGTAAAAGTTTTGATTTCTTTTTTGGGGGTTGGGTGTAAATTTTTGGTTTTTTGAGTGAATGTGATGAGAGAGAATGAGAGAGAGTTAAAGAGAGAGAGAGAGAGAGAGGTTGATCAAGTTGAAAAACATGGTGGGCCCCATAGCATATGTTTGCGAGTCGTTCATATAATTATATTTTTACAAAAAATAACCTATAATGTATGTATTTTCCTCTTTGTATTTTCCTTCACATTTTTCTCATTTTTGAAGATATGTGTTTTACACTATTCCAGTATCAACATCTAGATTCAAAAATGTTGATCAAAACTCTTTTTGGTCCATTAATATTATTATTATTCATTTTGAATAATTTGGAGTTTTATTCGGATTTTTTTTTTATTAATATAGAACATGAACTTGTCTAACTAAATTAATATCATATATTGTCATGTCAATTAATAATGTATTGAATTCACCATCCCGGAAAATTTTGATGATCAATGATTTTACTTGCACCACTATCATGACATATTTGACCAGAGTCAAAATTTTCCAAAGTAATTTCCCATCGTTCCTTTCTTCCAATAGCGACTAATAGCATAAACCTTACACTAACCTTATACAAAAAGTTAATATTCTGTAATATCATATGCATGCTGATCAAAGTTGCATACACTAGACTCGAGTTGAATCTTAAGCTCAATATATTTGTATAGGTCATTGTATAGTCTAGGTCTAGCTATCTATGATTCTTCCTATCGAGCTTTCAACTAGCATAAAAATTATCATTGATTCATCAGAATTATAAAAATTATCATTGATGAAATTTTGGTAAAAAAGTAAAGAAAAAAGAAACAAACTGGTCAGTAAGACAGTATACACTAATTTTACTGCCATTGGTAGGTACGATTGGTGTGAGAAGAAGATACACAGAAAATAGAAGTGAATATTATCACAATAACGATGGAGCAATATTGTCAGAATAAGACAGGTAGCCCTATGCAATGCGCAGTTATTTTCAAAAATTTTGTTTTTGTTTATTCGCATTGTGTGTATACTATGTGTTATTTTATGAAAACACTACTGTAGATCATACTAGATCATATGAGTCTTTCAATCAAAACCATCATTATAGAAGTATACAGTGTATTACTTCAAAGAGTAGATCATAAGACAATAAAAAAAAGTACTGAGCAGTTAAGAACTAACGCATGTTACTAACTAGGGAAACATTAATGATTAAACGAAATCTTTGTTCAAATTCAAGCAGACAATAAATTATACAAAATCAGTCGAATGTAAGATAAAAACACATATTAGAGTGACTATAGTTAAAAAAAAGTTGGAGCTTTATTTTGTTTGGTCGACTGTACGAGTAGAACTTATAACAATGTACTCATAATTACGTAAAACGTATGTACACACTTATTGACTTGAGTTATATTATTGAAGTGGTAGTAATAGATTAACATGATAACCATATTTACATATATCTTTTTTTTTTGTCAACAATTTAAACAATTTACATATATCTAATAGGCCCTGTTGACTGTATCTATGTGTATGATGTTAGGTCAATGAGTTATTTATAGATTACTTTAGATTTGGTTGGTAAAGCTTATATACACATCAGCGACTCGATCCTTTTACTCTGGTACAAAATACAATGCGTTTCCGATTTACAAGAAGGTAAGTACGTTTTCGATGCAACGTAGTAACTACAAGCCTACCGGAGTAATATAGTCTTGGTAATTACAACAGTAATAATAAGATTAACATACTTAGGAAAAAAAAAAACAGAAATTGATAATAACAATATTAACATGATGGAGATTAATACTATAGTAATAGACTACTTTTGAATATTGGCTAAAAAAAAGCCTAAATCATAGTTGGAACGTGAAGGAGTTAGGAAATAATAGACTTTAATAGGTCTTTTCGATGGAGAGCCCCTTGAGATAGCAGCCTAGGATTCCTCTTTCTGCGCCTTTTACTTGCTTTTATCTCCCATTAATATATATTTTAATAACATTATTAACTAACACATAAACTAAGATAATCATCAAATGTCCTACATCGGCTTCTTATTTCGTACTTAAACTTTAAAATTAAAACCAAACCATCACATTCACATCTAAAGATTGTTATTATACAAACACATGCACGCGCATATATAGCTATACTTATATATCAAATGGTCCTGCTAACTCTTATTTTATTAGAGTCATTTTTATTAATATTTGCATCTTTTCGAGAATAACGATTGATGGAATCCCAAAATCGTGTGTGTGTTTAAAAAGATCATTTCGAACCACCATTCAAAATTTTTTTCAACTTCCTTATAACTTTACAATGACGACACTAATATAAACAAATATGTTTCTTGATATTTGTATGTAGAAAAGTTTAGGTATGGATTGTGTTATAAATAATTGCGTGGACGGGCGAACCAGAAACAACGGTGCACAAGGACAAATTATTTGAGTTTATATGTTATATTCTTTGTTTATGTTATATTCTTGATAACTACTAATAAACAAAAAACAAATAACAATGAGAACTAAGATCTGAGAGATGAGAATCCGAGGAAGATGATATACATATTACATAACATAATCAATTTTTTTTTTTATTTGGTTAAAGAATAAAAGAATGGGAACAAGCTAGAGAATAAGGCAACAAGTATTGGTTTCACATGTTTGTGTCGACAAAGCCACACCCCCTTCGAAAAAAAAGGCTTGCTTGGTGTTTTTGTCTTTGCATGCATCTAAAATCTTATCTAATCCACTCCACCAATTTTTTTCTCCATCCATTTATTAATTCTTCAGTTATGCCAATTATATAAAGTTTTTGAAATTCGAACAATTTTAAAATCAGAACATTGGAAAAATAAAAATAAGAGCAACATCGAAATGGGTTATTGCACCTATAGTTTTTGGATGGGAGTGCAATATTGGCTCATTTTTTAATTAATAGAAATGTTTGTTTAAAGTTTGGTTCTCATATAGTCATATGCTTATTTACAAAAATAATGGCTATTTAACTAACAAAATTTAAGTTTGCACATGACTTACGCGGCTACGAACGAGCTCCGACGACCTTTTAAGGTGCCATTGCCATCACCACTACGATCTCTTTATCTATTGGAGGATGACTTCAAAATCAACACAGAGAGAGAAGATATATTGTTTTAAATAATTTCGTTTTTTTCAACAATATAACATTATGTAAAGTTTGAAATAAGGTGACAAACACTTTATAACGACATTAATACGAACTATTAAACTACATGTCATATTCGGGACTATCGAATGTGACGTAGCTCCTAAAAGTATATGCTCCTTGACTTGTCGTTTAAAATGTTGTGCGTTAAATTTGGATGTAGTGATATGGGTTTTAGCTAATGACAATGTACTGGTTGAATGTGATGGTGGAATGGTTTTTTCATGATATGTGAGTCGATGGACTAATCTTCATGTTCGAGATTTTTTTTTTCTCTTTATAATACATTTTGGGCCTTAAAGATCAGAATAAAAAGCCCAATAAGTCCCAAACCCATTAATACAAAATGACTAAAAAGCTCACGACTTATCCAATAACGTGGCACATTTGTGACTTTTCCACCAACTATGTTTCAGGTTAATTAACAAAAGAATTAATCAGTCCTTTTTTTCCGTCCTTAATCCCTTTTTATACTTTCCACACCTAGAGTATGGATCACGACGGCTAGAATATTGCCACGTGGAAGCTTTTCATCCAATCAACGGTTAAGGTTGTGGCCAATTAGACTCACTCAGCTCATCATCAGCATATTAGCTCTTTTTCTTTTCTTCTCAAACAAACCAAGTTCAGCGACAACAAAAAGAGATAACACCAACAACCTTCGGAAGAGAAGATCGGATAACAATGGCGGAGAAGACCTTTAAATACATCATCCTCGGCGGTGGCGTTTCAGCCGTGAGTATTTTCACCTTCCCCTCCTTTGATTCGATATTATTTTTTATTTTTTATTTTTTTTTTGCGAATAAACACCACAATTGTAATAGTTGTTTCTGGGTCTGTAGTTCGACTTCGTTATTGTAATTTCAGATAACGTTTTACGATGATCGTTATCGTAAGTTTATACGTTCTATCGGTGATTGATTTGTGATTTGATTTGATGCCTTGGCTTCCTAGAGAATCGCTGAGCTAACAAAGTTTACAATCGCTTTGATTGATCTATTTTTTCTGACGTGGAACATGGATTTGATCTGGTTTCCGCTGCACCATTCGACATGTTTGAACTTTCCTGTTTCTTGTTGTTGTTGATCTGTGAATAATCACTTAGAAATGGTTACTAGTTAGCGTTTGTATCCTCAGGCTTATCTTCAGTTTTTACGATTGTTTTTTATTAGCGCAGATTATAGTAGTGGAGTTCGAAAGCTAATTCAACGCTGATCTTGGATTTTGCTGTATTCTTTTCTCCATTTTTTGGTGTGTAGGGATACGCAGCTAAGGAGTTTGCCAATCAAGGGGTTAAGCCAGGAGAGTTAGCAGTTATCTCCAAAGAGGCGGTAAGCTTTCTTTGTATTTGGTTGAGACAACTATTATTTTGTATGCAGTGTCTCTTGTATGTAAATCTATGATCTTTATTTACTCCATATGGTGTCTTAGGTGGCTCCATATGAACGCCCTGCACTTAGTAAGGGGTATTTGTTTCCTGAAGGTAAGACCATTTTTCTGGTTTAACTTTGCAAACTACAATGACTAGTTTTGATTTTCTGAAAGTTGGCTTTTGGTTATGATTTTTGTTTTGGGAAAACAGTTACGATCATCTTTTTTTCCTATGCAGGTGCTGCTAGACTTCCAGGTTTCCATTGCTGCGTTGGTAGTGGTGGAGAGAAACTGCTTCCTGAATCATACAAACAGAAAGGTAACTATCTCACTGCGCATCTGACATCACCAATATCAATGCCCTGCTCATCTATGTAGTTTCACCGATCGATGATAACTCTTATCATCTCATGGATTTTCTTCAACACAATATTACTCTCTATACAAGCTTAAATACTTGCGTTATCATTTTTTGTTATCCCCTATGTTTGCAGGAATTGAGTTGATACTAAGCACAGAGATAGTGAAAGCTGATC